TCATTATAGAATTATAGATTAGAAATAATTTTCCTCAGATTATGAAGACATTATTCTAGTTTTTTTCATTTTCTGTTAGCATTGATGTTGCTTTTGAGAACTCATTTTCATCCCTGAATCCTACTACATATGTTCTTCTCCTCCTGTTTAGAAGTTTTTCACTCTGAAATTACTGTATCTTCATTTGTCCCTTCTTAACATCCCCCAGTTTTTCTGCCTGCCTCATTTTCAGGTTATTATTCATATCCCTGACCATTTTGCACTGACATACTTGCTTCTTTTACCTTTCTCTGTATTACACTGTCAGATTTTTAAGTAAGTTTAGAGAATGTGTATTCATTTTGATATCCTAGTATCGGAATGTCAGCATGTATGTGTTCAGTGAAGAAGGGTTTATTGACATGATGTTGGAACTAAATTAAATCATGGAGAGTCTCAAAGAAACTGTTTAATACTTCAGATTGGCTGACTGAATGAAAACTACCTGTAATTAATCTAATTATAGTTTATACCCAGAGCAAAAATAATTACATGTTTTCCAGGTAGTGTAATGGACTAACTGGACTGGTAAGAGCTAAACTACTGGAGAAGAGAAAGTTCTCTCAAGGTTGTGATCTGTAGAGAATTCTCTCCTGCATGTTCTCACTCTAACCCCGTAAATATTATCATTACTCTTCCAGTATGTTAGAACTGGATTATATAACTGGGGGGTTTTCTGAATTAATTTCCATGTAGAACACAATGTTTATTAAAGGATAAATTAAAAAAATGTAAGAAAAGAAAATTTTAAAAAATTAGATCTTAATTGTTCCCACCACAAAAAAAAGAAATAATTATGCGATATGTTAAGGGTGTTAATCATACATTGTATACTTTAAACTTATACAATGCTTTATGTCAGTTGTCTCAATATAAATACAAGTACATATTCTTCCTGCCCCTCCCCCCCTTTCTGTGCACTTATACCTCTAAAGTCTGTGGCCCTATCTACTAGCTACAAGAAGGAAAAAAAAGTAATGGTATGAACCCACTGGGAATGATACTATAGTTCTAAGCTTCTTTAGAGAGTGCGTGGTTCTTATTTCTCAGTTTCAGACTCAGTTTAAATTTTCTTCTTAGGAGTTATACAATAAGCTTTGAGTAGCTTGGATCTAAGGAATCTCCTTTATATTTCTTTTACCCTCCCCTTCTTTTGCCTGTTGGGGGATAGAAGTAACTGTTTCTCTGTAACCTTACAGTCATCCCCTATTGATATCCAAGGGGAATTGGTTCTAGGAACCCCATGGATACCAAAATTTATAGATGCACAAATTTCTTAGATAAGATACAGTATTTGCATATGACATTACACAGTTTTTATACATTTTGACTCATCTCTAAGATTACCTATAATACCCAATACAATTTAAATACTATGTAAGTAGTTGTTACATTGTATGGTTTAGAGAATAGTGACAAGAAAAAAGTTTCTACATATGTAGTGGAGACACAGATATTATAGGCCCACCTATCTACACCTGGATTTTGGACACCAAAGTGCAAGTGTAACTCCTATATATAATGTGACATGAAGAAAGTACTTACCCTCATGGGCTTACCAGGAGGCATGGGAGCTTGGGTCAGTGAAATATGCACATACTATCAAATATGTGCTGTAAATCTGTGAACAAAAATTCTGTGGGAATTTTCAAGAACTAATGGGGGTGAATTGTTGGAGAAGTTGATGGGTTACAGGTCAAAGATATGCAATGGCATAAAGTAACCGTGGTCTGTGTCTTGAGGACCACACCCTTCACCAAAGTACCTGTTACTCTCCACCAAAGCCCATTGGGTCCCCTCTTCCCTTGGCTCCCTATCTCCTACTCTTCCCCACTTCTGGTAGTCTCAGTTCTTCAGATTTCTAGGATTTGTTTCAGTTTTGTTTCTGCCTTTGTTTTGTTTCTTTACATTCCACATGTGTGTGAAATCATCTGGTATCTGTTTTTTCCCTTCTGACTTACTTTACTTAGCATAATCCCTTCCAGTTCCATCCCTGTTGTTACAAATGGCAAGAGTTCATTTTTTTTAAATAACTGTTTCCATTGTGTGTGTATATATACCATATCGTAATCCACTCATCTGTCATTGAGCATGGGTTGTTTCCATACTTTGGCTATTTTAAGTAGTGCTGTAGTGAATAGAGGAGTACATATTTCCCTCTGAATTAGTGTTTTTGCATTCTTTGGGTAGATACCTAGGAGTGGAATTGCTGAATTATATGGTAGATCTGTTTTTAATATCTTGAGAAACCGCCATACTGTTTTCCATAGGGGCTGGACTAGTCTGCATTCCGGTCAACAGTGTATGAGGATTCCTTTTTTCCCCACAACCTTACAGCACTTGTTTCTGGTCTTTTTGGTATGGGCCATTCTCACTGGTGTGAAGTGGCATCTCATTGTGATTTTGATTTACATTTCCCTGATGACTAGTGATGATGAACATTTTTTCACGTGCCTCAACTGTTGACTTTGTTTTCTTTGGAGAAGGGTGTACTTAACTCTTCTGCCCTTTTTTTTTTTTTTTTTTTTGAGTGAAAAAAAGTATTGTTTTTACTTTTTTTTTTTTTTACTTTTATTTTTATATTCCCTATACAATTGCAACCCCCTGCCCATTTTTTGATTGGGTTCTTTGTTTTCTTTTTGTTGAATTGTGTATTTCTTTGTAAATGTTGAATATTAGGCACTTGTTTGATGTGTGAGGTACAAATAATCTCCCATTCAATAGAGTGTCTTTTCATTTTATTTATTTATTTTTTTAATTTTTTTTAATATTTTTATAGAGGCATGTTTTTATTTATTTATTTATTTGTTTGTTTGTTTGTTTGTTTTTATACATGCACTGGGTACAGTCAGAAGCTCGGGAGGGTGAGAGAATTCACCAGAGCCAGAGCGGGGAGCAGAGCAGGCAGAAGGACCGAAGTACACTGCTGAGGGGAGCAGCGGGCGGCAGGAGAGGTCTGCGCGCCATGTGGGACCCTCCTCTGGTGGCTGGGGAGCAGCCGGGGATCGAACTGGCGCCGCAGAGGCCGCGGGCAGCTTCGCAACCCAGCGCTCAACCGCTGCGCCACCGGGGAGGCCCGAGTGTCTTTTCATTTTAATGAGTTACTACTACCTTGGTTTACAGACACTATGTAATTCAGAATCTGGAGGTATATGTGGTGTTTTTTAAAGGTATTATCCAGCTAAATTTGGTTTTAACTCTGTTATTCAAGTTTTAATAAGACTGCAATTACTAAGTATTAGAAAAGAAAAAAGAAACTAATACTGTGATTCTTTCCTCTTTTCAAGTTAAAACAGTATTATTTGGTTATTTTGTTAACTACTGTTTAAGCAAAAGAATTTTGCTCCTCCTATAAAAACTTACATCTAGGGTTATTGATTCTGACTCTTTTACTGTGTGGGAGAAAAGAGAGAGGGACATAGTGAACCTAGAACAGTTAATGAACACTAAAGAGGTAATGACAGTTGTTAAATATAATTGTGTTAGAAAGTGGTGTTACATTCATTATCTTATTTGAGGATCATAATTCCTTAGTGTTTGAGGTTTTGTTCTCTGCTTTGTAATTGAGGAAACTGAGAAACTGACTCTTGTCCAGCTTGATTGTATAGTATAGTAGGGCTAACTTTAAGATAAAGGTTTCTGGGTTAGAGACTTGTGTATTTTCTATTGAACCACAAAGTCTTTCTGTAGAAGTAGGGCAAGAAGGTGGTGTTTGACAGTTAGCAACACTGACTGTATAACAGTATCATTGCTTTGCTTTGTGTCTTTGGAAATAACTGCTTTTTACTGTGCTATTTTTCAAGTAGAGTTTATAGTACTTGGCAATTTATGCTCCATAGGGCTATAACATTTGGAATGGTTGGGAAGAAAGGGTACTATACTATTTTTTATTTATTGTTATTTGCCATGGTTATTACAATTTTAATTATTTTATCATTTTTATTTGTATTATTCGTTTTACAAAACATTGTGTTATAGCTATGCTTCATGTGGGAGGAAAGGAGGAATTCAGGAAAGTCTAAAAATGTATCCTAGACCCTATACATTGAAATCAATGTTACCTTTCCATGCAATAACCTTGAGAAGCTGTATATTGCTGCCTTTGTTCAAAATATTCACTGGATAACTTTTTTTTTTTAAGTATAATTTTCTCACTGTGTCTTTCAGCATTTTTTTTTAAGATTAATTTATTTATTTATACAAGCACTGGGTACAGTCAGAAGCGCGGGAGGGTGAGAGAATTCACCAGAGCCAGAACGAAAGCAGAACAGGCAGAGTGATGAAGTACACTGCCGAGGGGAGCAGCGGGCAGGCAGGAGAGGTCTGCGTGCCATGTGACCCTCGCCTGGCGGCCAGGGATCGAACCGGCGCTGCAGAGGCTGCAGGCAGCTTCACAACCTAGCGCTCAACTGCTGCACCACTGGGGAGGCCCTGGATATAATTTTTTTTTAAGTTATTTTTATTTATTTATGCATACATGACCTGAGGTGTAGGCCAGAGGTGGGGTTGAGAGGATTCACTAGAGACAGAGTGGGGAGCAGACCAGGCAGATCTACTGAAATACACTGCTGAGGGGAGTAGCAGATGAAACAGGAGAGGTTTGCTATGCCATGTGGGTTACTCTCTGGCTGGGGACTGAACTCATGCTGCAGTGACTGGCGATAGATTGATAGTGCTTAGACTTAATCCCGTGCACCACCAGGGAGGCCCAGATATCATTTTTTTAAGCAATAGCTTCTGGATTTTATTTCTATAAAGATGTACCTATTTGACATGAAAATATTTGCAAACTTGGTTAATAATTTAGTTGTTTAGTATGCCAGATATTGATAACTCGTTTTTAGAACATTTTTAACTACTGTATCTGGTAGATTCAGCAACTGAATGGTTTTGATGAGTATTTCTGTAGATCACAACATAATAGGTTATCTTTGAATTAATGATTGTTTCTTTCCCCCCAGTCAGCAGATAAGCAGCGAGCCCTAGAAGAAACCAAAGCTTATACTACACAGTCCTTAGCAAGCGTGGCCTATCTGATAAATACCTTGGCCAACAATGTATTGCAGATGCTGGATATCCAGGCTTCCCAGCTAAGAAGGATGGAATCGTCAATCAATCATATTTCACAAGTAAGATAACATCTTTCTATTTTTTTAACAAACACAGACAATTTGTAACTCAGACTTTTACTATAAGTTAATTCACATGTGTGATTGGTAAAATAAAAACTAATAGGCTAGGTGTTTTTGATTTTGATGGGGAATCAATAAACTTCAGGGGTTTCTTTTAAAATTCAGTTGTCATGTTAAATAATCAGCCTTGAGATGTATGTTTATCTGGCTTTTTCATACTTTTACATGCTTTTTTTATGATACCTTGTGTGCTGAAAATCTTACTCAGTTTTCACTGACTTTGGTGGTTTGACTTGATTAGAATTGCAGTGTTATGTAGGATAGATTCTTAATGTAGGGTCCAATTTTATGCCCTTTTCTTAGCAACTGTCCACTAATTTTTTAAAAAAGGTTTTATTTTGTGCATACAAGAGCTGAAATGTAGGCCAGAGGTGTGTGTATGGAGGGGGGCGGGTGAGAGGAGACAGGATGGAGAGCAGAACAGGCAGATTGACTGAAATTCACTGCTAAGGAGAGCAGTAGACCAGACAGGAGAGGTCTGCTGTACCATATGTGGCTTAGGTCCCTGGCCTGGCATCGAACTCATGCTGTAGTGGCTGTGGATAGCTTCATATTGCAGAGACCCAACCCCTTGCACCACTGTCCACTATTAAGGCTTACAGTTCATTGATCTTTTCCTTTTCTATGGTGATTTTCCTTTTATCCTTAATGTAATGGCCTGTGGGTTGGGCTGTATGTGTTTTTATATATAGAGAAACATGCAAACAATATGTAATTGCCCCCAGTATCCAGATATAATAAAAAGTTTTAGGACTTTTTTTAAAAAAGTCAATTTTTTTCAGTTGAAAAATATGTGCTTGCTATAAAATATGACTACATATTATTATAAATAAGTGGGAAAATGTTCCCTTTTGATCCTCCAGAGATTTACCATTATTTCTAGCATGAATATTTGAATGATCAATTATTTATTTATTTATCTATCTATCTATTTATTTATTTATTTATTGTTGCATGAAGAACTGGGGTGTAGGCCAGAGGTTTGTGTGGGGGGGGTGGTGAGAGGATTTACCAGAGACCAAGTGGGGAGCAGAACAGGTGGATCTACTGAAATACACCGCTAAGGGGAGCAGTGGGCAAGATAGGAGAGGTCTGCTGTGCCATGTGGGTCAGCTCCCTGGCCAGGAATCTTGCTCAGGCTGTAGTTGTGATAGCACTGAGACTTAACCTCTAGACGACCAGGGAGACCCTGGATTTGTATTTTGTATTCCTATGACTTCTTTTTGAGTAAGATAATTACATTTCTGAAAACTGAGCAAAGTGAAAACTATCTCAAGGGGATTATGTTCTCTGATAAATTTCCTTCTATTGGTATGACAAAGATGGGTTATGTGAAAAATAAGTGCCATATTTTGTTTGGTTCTGATTTCGAAGCATACTTGATAAATATAGAATGTTCCTAACTGGTATTTTTAATGATCACAATGATTCATTAAAAATTACTCAAATGAGGTTTTCATTTCTTTGAAGTTAAAAACAAGTAAATTCCAATATAGTCATGAATATGCAGCTTTTTTTTTTGTTATAGCTCCCCCAAGCAGTTGAAAAGAAAAGGTTTTATAATTTACTTAGCATGCACAGAAAAAGTTCAAAGACATTGTTGTCTTTAAAAGAAATAATTTAAAAAGGTTACTGCATTGGCCAGTCTTGATTTCATCCTTACATTTAGATATTTATTAGTTCTGAAGCTTATAGATTCTGTTGTTTTTAAGATCTCTTGGTTGTAATAGGAGACTATAAATTTGTTTCAAGTTCATACTTTAGATAGTTCAGAAAGATAATTAGTTTTCAGATTTCTTATTGTGATATTTGATGTTATGATGGTTATACTTTTTTTATTCTATTTCTGTGTTGCTACCTGATTATTATTTTTTTTTTTTGAATGGGTTAGTAATGGAAGTAGGACTGGGGGGGATTAGGGACAGTGTCTATTAATTGCTGTTTGAGCCAAGAATGGTGGTAAGAGGTGAATGAACGATTTCAGTATTTTTCAAAGTTTTTTGACTACAAACCTTAGTAAAAAGCTTTTTTTACTTTGCACCTGGTATACAATTCATGTGTATATTTTTAAACATGACAAATGTTTCAAGAAATAATAACTGTGTGTACATATAGTATGATGTTTCTATAATTCATTTAAAATAATTGGTGCTGAAGCAATTGCTACAGTGGTTTGAAAATGATGTTTTAGTGTATAACTTGTGTTTATGGAGAAATTCCTCCTCTAAAATTAACATGTTAGAAGACTGAGTGAAATCATATCATTCTGTATTAAATTATATCCTATATGAGCATTTTTTTACTAAATGAAATAATGAAATAGTTTATGAGCATTGTGTCATGATAAAATGTAGCAGTTTTAGCAAACTTAAGTTTTTCTGTAAAAAGACTTTTTTTAACACTGTAGTTGTCTCCATTTTTAATTTTTTTATATTAATTTTTTACATCATTGTTCATTTTTGAACATTATTTGCTTCCTCCACCCCCTCAGGTGTAGTCCCCATAGTTTCCTTCACCAATGCACCCGTGCACCATCACCTCAGTGCCCTGTGCTCCTGCCTTCCCTCCCTCTGTTCTTTCTCCCTCTTCCTCCCCTGTCGGATGTCTCTGATTTATAATTGTCCATTTTTGCTTTGTTTTGTTTTGTACTGTTACTTTTTTTTTTTTTTAACACAGATGTCTATATATTCCTGCTATAAGTGAAACCATCCAATAGTTTTCTTTTTCCTTCTGGCTTATTTCACTGAGCATAATTCCTTCTAGTTCATCCACGTTGCTGCGAATGGCATGAGTTTATCTTTTTTGATTGCTGAATAATATTCCATTGTGTATATATGCCACTTCTTCTTGATCCAGTCATCTATTTTTGGGCATTTGGGTTGTTTCCAGGTTTTACCTATTGTGAATAGTGCTGCAATAAACATAGGTGTACAGGTGTTCTTTTTTTTTTTTTTTTTTTTAATAGAGGCATGCTTTATTTATTTGTTTTGCTGGTTTGTTTGTTTGTTTTGTTTATACATGCACTGGGTACAGTCAGAAGCGCGGGAGGGTGAGAGAATTCACCAGAGCCAGAGCGGGGAGCAGAGCAGGCAGAAGGACCGAAGTACACTGCTGAGGGGAGCAGCGGGCGGCAGGAGAGGTCTGCACGCCATGTGGGACCCTCCTCCGGTGGCCGGGGAGCAGCCGAGGATCGAACCGGCGCCGCAGAGGCCGCGGGCAGCTTCGCAACCCAGCGCTCAACCGCTGCGCCACCGGGGAGGCCCTACAGGTGTTCTTTTGAATGAATGTTTTTGTGTCCTTTGGGTAGATCCCTAGAAGTGGAATTGCCGGGTCGTATGGTAGCTCTATTTTTAGCAGGCTGAGGAATCTCCAAAAAGCATAATGTTAAATGGTGGCCAAACCTTACTTTAGACTAAAAATGGAGGTCAGCTTTGGTCCAGAAATAGAGAAAATTTAGCAATTGTGCTTAAGAATGTGAATTATGATTTTAAGTCTTTTGAACATCTGTATTTGAATTTTTCTGGATATTAGAACTGTACATTTTGGTGTTGTATTTCTATTTTGCAGACTGTTGATATTCATAAAGAGAAAGTTGCAAGAAGAGAAATTGGTATTTTGACTACTAATAAAAACACTTCAAGGACACATAAGATTATTGCTCCAGCTAACCTTGAACGACCAGTTCGTTATATTAGAAAACCTATTGACTATACAATTTTAGATGATATTGGACATGGAGTAAAGGTAAGGACAACTTCTGTCAAGCTTTTGAAAGCAATAGCATTCTTTAGAAAATAAACTTTTATCTTTCCTAGTTGTGGTTTTGATAATCCCTTACTACTGTAATGATTTTATTCTTCCTGCAGCATCTTGGTGCTATGTTCTCAAGTTTAAAACATTCATCTTTGAATTGCATTTACTTAATCAGTTATCATAGTAGTTCACATAGATTTGGTAAATAAAAGTGGTATAATCTTTCTAGTCTTTTAATAATTTAATATGACTTAATAAAAAATTGTTATTTAAGTATTACCATTATCTCAACATTTTTTCAGCAGTTTTGGCATTAGTTTTCAGAAAGAATTTATATAAACAATCATGTACTTTGAATTTTTCTAAAATTTTATCTTAACATTTTGGGTGGAAATAGTGTAGATGAAAGAAATAAGTGAGTTGATGTTTCCACTGCTTTTGAATATAGGCTGTTAGATATTTTGGCTATATTTTAAAATGTTTTTTAGTGCCTGCTGTATATTAAAACACCATAATCAAAACTGAGGAGCATATACATTTATTTTAAATTGGTTTTTGTACTTCAGACACTTGCGAGCTTCAGCTAAATATTAAACTATTTAAAATTTGCATCCCATCAATGATTTGAAAGACAGTGATTAATCAAATGTGACTTTGAGTAAATATATGCCTGTAAGTGAAACTGTACACTTCATGTAGTTGAATGATGTGTAATATAAGCAAATTAAAAAAATACCTTACACTAGTATGACTAGAAATCCATTAAATCTAAATTTAATGTAGATCTAGGTAAAAGAAAAAGAATAGTATAAATTAAAAAAACTTTTTCTTCCTCGGTTTTTATATAAGTGTTATTTCTGGAGTATCATGTTTAATTGTATAATTGATATTTACATGCATTTAAATTACTAATTAGAATATGTTAAAATGAACTGTGTAATTGTATGAATAATTTAATAACTCAGTTTTATTCTTGGGAAAATCTACATTCATTCAAGGATAACAACTGCTAATAAGAAATTTAATATTGCCATAACAAAAAAAAAGGCACTTAGTATATGAAACATCCTATTTGTGTTTACCCTCTTACATAGTAGAAAAGTGATTTTTTTTTGCTCCTCAACTTAATGTTACACTTTTGGGACTATGTAGTTCCTTTCTTTATTTGGGTTTAAGTGTTTAGGTGATCATCAATTTGAACAAATCTAATAAAATTAAGTTTTTGAATAAAACCTTGTTATATAATTTCATCAGAATGAAACTCCTGTTCATGACACATTCTGCTTTAACCACTCTTTCTATGATCTACTGAAACATTATTTTTTAATGCTAAAGCTTAACTTGTTTTTTCTTTTTTTTTTTTTTTTTCCTTTCTCTTCACATCCTGAAGTTCCAACTAACCTTTCAATGCTTTTTTCCTTACCTCTTTTATTTGCTCCATTAATGCATTAAGTGGTTGCTTAGATTTAAGGTAAGAGATTCCAGGGCTGGATTTCCATTCTTTGTTCTTATGTAGAATATTACATATGGGGAGTGAAGTTATTTGGCACTTGGTATTTAAAAAAAAAAAAATTCCTTTTATTTTCATCATGCAATTTTGTGGTGTGTCTTCATGTTCCATTAGGGCAGTTATTTTTGTTTGTTCACTGCTGTATACTGTGTGCCTAAAACAGTGCCTATCATACTTTAGGCACTTTGTTGGATAAATGCTTATTTTGCAATGTTACTATATTTTGTGAAACTGATATATAAGTTATCTATTATAAGATGTCATTATGAAATAAAATTAGCTGGATTTTTGTAAATATAGAAATTCTGTTGTGGTTTGGAGGGCCAACTATTGTGCTTAATTTAACCCTCCCCCTGTGTAATAGCATTTTTATTCTATAAATGGTGTGCTTTATTAACACCTTGTTGCCATTATGTCTTTATTGCTTGGCTCTTAGTCAGTATAAAATAATTGAGAAACAAAAAATATTCAATGTTTTTTTTAAGTTGCAGTATCATATATTTTGCGAAAGAAACCAAAATTAGTTTTTTTATGTTACTGTATAAAATATATACTCAGCATAATCTCACTTTAAGAGTTTTTCAAGCTGAGCAGTACTTAACATGCAAAATGTCAAAAGCTCTTGACACTGTTTAACAAAATACAAGAATTAGTGATAATAGTATATACATGCTATAAACCAATATTAACTTAAATAATTTAAATTTAAAAAATTAAAGAATTAGCTACTACTTTTGTTACTTGTTGCAGAAACATTTTAGTATTTTATAGGATTAATGTTAAATGATGTTTAAGGTTATTAAAGAGCCCATGAAATAGAATGTTATTTTTATCATTTTTACCAACCTGGCATGCATTTCATTTTTGTTCTTTTTTCCTTAGCTGAATTTTATTATTTCTTTTCAGACAAATATTTTGTCTGTCTAATACTCTGTTGTTTGTCATGTCTTTTGTGTAGAAAGTGATAACGAGATGACTGAGATCTGAATCATTAAGCACCTACTAATCATGGTCTCAGAAATTTCAACAGATTATGGTAGAGAGAAAGATGACTAACAGATCCCAGTCTTGGTGAATGAGGCAGGTAGACGTGTGAGGAGATTCCTTTTGCATAAAGTAGGCAGATATAGTCCAAAATCAGCGTAGGCGGCGTCCTTGCGTCTTTTCCCGTATAGTTTGTATTCAAATTTTGACTAGTGATATGTTAATCTCAGAGTGATAGAAGTGCACAGAAAGATCAACTGAAGGAAAATGTAGAAATGTATCAGTTCTTTTCCTTTAAAACTTAAGACTAGTCTAAGCAATCTCATGTTTGTTCTACAAATCCTATGATTCCTTCTTTACCTTCTTAGGTTCAGGATCAGTGCTGTGTGAGAGCGAGGCTAAAATGAGGGATTTAACAAGGAAAGATTTAACAAGGAAAGATCATACTTGTATAAGACTCCTTAACATCTTTGCCCTGCACCAAAAAGCTTCACTCCTGAGTACTGTGGCTCTGTGTAGGTGCTGCTGTTACAGCTGGGTGGAGTTGACAGGGTGAGAAGAGTACTGAACTGAGTATCCTTTTCCTACTCTGTTCTAGTTCTCCTGGAAGCTAGACGGTACCAGTGTTGTTTTCCCTTTTTCTTTTTCTTTTTCTTTTTCTTTTTCTTTTTCTTTTTTTTTTTAAGATTTTACTTATTTTTACATGTAAAAACTGGGGTATAGGCCAGAGGTGTGGGGGGTGAGAAGATTCACCAGAGACAGAATTGGGAGCAGAACAGGCAGATCTACTGAAATACACTGCTGAGAGGACCAGCCAGCAAGACAGGAGAGGTCTGCTGTGCCATGTGGGTCATCTCCCTGGCCGACCAGGGAATTGAACTTGTACTGCAGTGCCTGGCTATAACTTGATAGCACTGTCTTTAACCCCTCCACCACCAGCTAGACCCCTGTTTTTCCTTTCTTCCCATATCTTTGTCTTCTCTATAAACTTGTGGAAAAAGTTAATAATTTTGGAGAATGAAAATAGAGTGAAAAACTCAGTATATGGTAAATAATTTTTTTTTTTTATTCTGGTGAAAAAAGATTGTGGTTTTTGGAAGGATGATTAATGGAATAAATTCAACATATTAAGGTAGAATAGAGAATTAAAGAAAAAAAATGTAGAGGTTGGAAGGGACTGCAAATAATAGTTTAATGGTTTTCCAGTTGAGCTTGAAGATCTATGAGTGGTAGCAAATGCCTTAGAGTTTCTTGAGCTTTGATAGGATTTTCTGAAAAACTGATCCTTTTGATTCATCGGCTCTACTTGAACTCTCTCTTTACTCTCATTAACTTTTGGTGCCTCTCATATGGACTCCAACCACAGATCCTCTTTCAGGACCAGGCAAATGTGTTTTAACTTGGAAGAGAGTCAAACTTAATGCTTAAAAGTTGAATTTTTAAAACATTTTATATAGCATGTCCTGATGGTGGTCAGTGGGTTGTTTTTCATCTGAAATTTTTTTATTCAACTGACAAGAAGTTATAAAGTTTAATTCATAAGACCTTTGAAAACAATGCGGTGAGGGCCTCCCCTGGTGGCACAGCGGTTGAGCTCTGGGCTGCGAAGCTGCCCGTAGCCTCTGCAGCGCCGGTTCAATCCCCAGCTAGGGTCCCACATGGCACACAGACCTCTCCAGCCATGCCTGCTGCTCCCCTCCGCAGTGTATTTCATTAGTCTGTCTGCTCTTTCCCCGCTCTGGCTCTGGTGAATTCTCTTACCCTCCCAGGCTTCTGACTGTACCCAATGCTTGTATGTATGTATGTATGTATGTATGTATGTATGTATGTATGTATGTATAAATAAATAAATCTTTAAAAAAAATGCGGTGATACTATTACAAAAAGAGGTATCAAGAGCTAATATATAGAATGTCATATTGGAAGTGTTTATGTACATGACTCAGGCTTTATAAAAGTGGTCTGTACCTTGAACTGGGGAGGTTTAAGAACCTGTTACTCATGTATTTTAAAGTGGATTTTTCCATAAAGGAGTAAAGTTGTCACTAATGAAGCTAAAGTTAAGTACCGCTCAAGTAAATATTCAAATCAACAATAGTACAGGCTTCTGAGCTATTAATGTAATATTTTAGTTGAACTTTATGTAAGCAGATTCTAAGTGATTAATGAGGAAGGTTTAGGGTTTATTTTAAAACTAATAGGAATATAACACTCAAAAGTTTTGCGTTTTTTACAAAAAAAATCTACTTTGAAGAAATACTGAAAAACTCTAGCTTAATATCATGGTAATACACTATCAGTAAAGTATTAAAATATAGATTATGTGGACATTTATAGGGAGTCTGTTTTTTTTTTTTTTTTAAATATTTATTATTTATTTATACAAGAACCGGAGTACAGGCCAGATTCGCGGGAGAGTAAGAGGATTCACCAGAGACAAAGCGGGGAACAGAACATGCAGACTGATGAAATACACTGCTGAGGGGAGCAGCGGGCGAGACAGGAGAGGACTGCCGCGCCATGTGAGACCCTTGCTGGCTGGCCGGGATTGAACCAGTGCTGCAGAGGCTGCAGGCAGCTTCACAGCGCGGCACTCAACCGCCTGCGCCACCAGGGGAGGCCCAGGGACTTTTTTTTTAAAGATTTATTTTTATTTATTTATTTATACAAGCACTGGGTACAGTCAGAAGCGCAGGAGGGTGAGAGAATTCACCAGAGCCAGAGCGGGGAGCAGAGCAGGCAGAAGTACTGAAGTACACTGCTGAGGGGAGCAGTGGGTAGGAGGGGGCCATGTGAGACCCTCCTCTGGTGGCCTGGGAGCAGCCGGGGATCGAACCGGCACTGCAGAGGCTGCCGGCAGCCTCGCAACCCAGCGCTCAACCGCTGTGCCACCGGGGAGAGGCCCGACTCTGTTTTTTTTTAAATGACTTTAGTTACTCATCTACACCCCTTTAACCAAACAAAATCATCTGATGATTCTGTAGTCTTAAATTGTTTTATTTACAGAAATGTCTACTAGATTTTGATTTTCAGATTATATTACTTTTTGGATAGATTGAAAGACTTAGAAGATACTGCAATTAAAAAAAAACTACCTTACATGCCATAACCTTAACTCAAATTGGAAAGCTGTTTTCAAGTATTTTAGCTATTCCATGTATAGAATAAAATTTTCTTATACTCTTTTTCTATCCTTGTTCCTTCTCCTTCCGGTTTTTAGCAAATTGATAGTTAAGTGTTTGGTTCACCTACTTCTCCCTGATCACTTAAAGTAACTTTGGGTTTTATGTTTTTTAAATTTAAGGTTGAGCTTAAAGGACTTGGATTACTTTAAAAAGTATTTTGGTATCATGAATTAACATTTACAATTTTAGAAGTTGTTATTTGTCATATTCCTAAAATTTTCTGCAAATGTGAATTGACTTTCTAAAAAACTGTCATTTTCAAGACATTAGTATACCCTCTGCTTATTAATGAGGGTTAGAGTGAGGATAAGTTAATCTTTATTCTAATATGATAACCACTTTGTTTTTTATTTATTGGTTAAAAACAAAAGTATTACAGATAAATGCTTCATTTTAAAAATACTGATATTTCAAAGATTGTTTTAAATCTTAATTTGTCATTAAAGATTGTTTTAACATCACACACAACTTGTTCACTGGACAATTCATTTGAAGAGTTTGTTTCTTGACATTATTTATTGCCTGTTCTGATAACAAAAAATATATTAGGATTTAAAGATTCCATTTAAGCCAGATTCCATTCTGACAGCCTCAGTACTCTGTATACAAATATGATTTGTTTTTCTTAAAGTTGATATTTTGAAACTAAATGTATTTTGATTTCAGTTGGGAGTAGTGTCTCAGTTTCATTTTGCAAGTATAATTTAGTAGACATTCTTATTTTTAAAAGTTAAGATCCTTTTTTAAGTGTCTGGCAATCCAAAATAATAGGGACTTAAAATAGGGTCAAGTGTGAACCTATAGGGTGATCATTAATTAAGCTTAACCCATTGGTAATCTCAAATAATTTGAGATTGCATTTAAACTACTTGTGAATGACTTCTCTTAGCTCCTTAAGATAATCAGATTTGTAGAACTTTTTATATAAGTGCTAACATGCTTCTTTTGTGACATCCTTGTTTCCAGATAACCCAACTTTCCTACACTTACATTTTTGGTTGGGGATAGAGTAGTGAGTAGTCATGGACTTCTGATTTAGAATTATGTTGTATCTTTCCAATGCCTGAATTAATCTTCATTTTGGGCCTGAGTGGGTCTCATTCCCACTGAAACTGTGGCATTCTATACTACTATGTACTACTCACAGTTGAATGGATTACCTCACCCCTAACTTCTTGACTCAGATGTCTAGGAGTATGCTTATCTTCTGGCAGTTTTCAGGTAGGTGATTCCTTGGAAAGGGAACATTACGAAATTTGAATTATAAAGCTGATCCACAATTAGTTTAAAAAAACGTAAATTTTCTGTTTATTTTACAACTTAATTTATATTTTCTAGTTGTAGTGCATCAAAACTTTTATTTGGGAAACATGAATTTTGTTTTTTATGATATACTTGGCAAAAAATTGCTTTAAAGGCATTATTTCTGATTTACTTTTTATTAAATCTAAAATTTTTATAGTTATCCTACTTAATTTTAATTGAGTGAAATTATATTGAATAATCTAACCAGTGATCTGTTGGTGTGATGGCCTAATGGCAAATGAGTCTTTGCATAAAAGTTTATATTCACTTGAAAATCTCATGTTAGGAAGAGTCCTTTGAGTACAACTATGGAATAATAGTAGAGTAGAAATTGCATATGAAATGCATGGCCTCTAATTTTTTTTCCTGTTTAAACCTTCCCCATCTTTGTTAAGTGGCATAACATTATTTCCCAAAAGTACTACTTGGTTTCACTATGTACAACATTTTTTAGGTGAGTACCCAGAATATGAAGATGGGTGGGCTGCCTCGTACAACACCGCCAACTCAGAAACCCCCCAGTCCCCCTATGTCAGGGAAAGGGACACTTGGGTGAGTATGTATCTAAGTAATAATTGAAAACCATTTCATAAAGTGTTGTGTGAAAACTAAATCTACATATATATTGTTTTTCAATATTTGAAATTGAACGTTCTTAGGGTTATCTTTTTTAGTATATAATTTTCCCTTTTCCTGGAAAACAGCTTTATACTTCCAAAAGATTTTGTTTAGAATTAATTTTTTCTAATGAATTTTAAAGAGGTAAAGTTCTTAGCCGAAGTCCTTGGTTTATTATAAATGATAATCTAATTCCTATTTTCAGAAAAAATTTAGGGTCTTTGACATTACAGCTGACTATTCTGTACAGACTGTTAGTCTGAAAGATGCTGTATGGATTATCAAATTCTGTGTATCTTGTGTCATTTTGAGAATTTGGAGCTTTAATTTGATCTTACAGAATTAGGCTTTGGATTTAACTGTTGTCAGCATCAATTAATACAAAAACTTGACTTTTTTCTTTTGTGGCTTTATGGTTTAAAAATTTGGTTTATCATGATTTAGATTTGTGACTAGGTAGGCGTAATATAGCCCAGAAGCCAGACGACAAAAATTGTGATCCATCTCTGCTCCTGCTCTATGGTCTTACATAGTCAACCTTTTAGCAGTTCAGTTTTTTCATCTGTAAAAGGGGGTAATATCTGTCATCTTCTAACTTTTAGAGTCACTATACCATGAATTGGATTTTTTAAAAAAGTGTAAGACAAAGACAAAATACTTTGACACAACCATTGGCTTTATAATATACACTTAAAAGTACTTAATTTACAATATTGTTTTTGGCCCCCTCACCAAAAAACAACACATAAAACCCCAAAAATTAACCTAATCAAGCACCTTGGATCAGGACAGGACCAAGATGAGTTGAGATAAAAGTTAATAATGTTTTCAGAGGAATTATAGTTAACACAGTTATAAGTAAAAGAAAGAAAATTATTCCAGTGGGGAATAGGATGGTTTTATTCAGTTTACATTTGAGAGGAAAGAATCTAGATGACTATGATTTAAACTTCAAGGTAGAATGTGGATGACATTGTTGGGTATAATTGTGCATGAGTACGAGAGATCAAGATAAAGTATTTGTTTGATTTTTCTGTGGTCTATCTACATTTCTACCATGCTTGGTTCCTAATGAATTTTGTTAATTTTTGAGTCAAGAATGTTAGCAAGATAATCTACTGTGGTCACTAGGAAAATAAACTTTTCTGCTTTCAAGTTTTGAAGATTTACTCATATAGTAGTAGTCGTTTTTCCTTGTGTTTTAGCAAGCATTCTGCAGGACTCTTAGTTGCTGAGTGCTACAGGCTGGTCGATGGTCGCACAGTTGTCACACTGTTTTGCAACCTTTGCTTAGTCTCAAATATTTTGTTCCTCTAGACCTTGAGTTTTACCTTGTTTTTATCATTGCCTGCGCTGTAGAGAGCTCAAACATCAAAGGGTTTTTTCTTGGTTAAAGCAGAACACTTTTGTTTGGAAGTCAACTATCTGGAAATTTGTTTTCCGATTTTTTTTTTTCATATTTACATCTTAATTTCAGAGATGCTTAACATCCTGGTTAGTACTTTAAATCCAAGGTCATAACCTTCATTTTTCTTCTTCTGACCTAATATCTAGAGCCCTTTATTTATTTTAGTTGTTAAAGTATGTGTGTATTTAAGCAAGGGCATTTTGAGTGTAGTACAATGATAGGATTGGTGCAAAGTTATCTTATCCAGTATCAATGGACCATAATTTATTAGCCCAGGAGAGTAATATTTAAAGGATTCTTGGGAACTTTTTGAAAACTGACTTATTGAGAAATAAATGAGCAATATCATTTTGGGAAAAGAAAGCTCTTGAGAATCCTAATTTTTATTCTTCTGAAAACCAGAATCTCATCTACAAAATGTCAGTTTCATGTCAGTTGAGTTTTTATCATTGTCCTAAAGAATTTTGAAACTTAGAGATGAGAACTAATTTAATAATCACTAATACTCCAGTGTGCATTCTATTCCTATATTTTTTTATTCTTCTCATTCTCTACCTTTAGCAGGAAATTGTGAGAAAAAGAAGGAACTATGTTAATAAAATCCTGTTTTGCACTTTGTAATTCAAAGTAAATAAAGTAGAAAAACGTAGGTGTTTTTTTTCCCCCTCTCCCTTTTAAATCTTAAACTCTGAGCAGGGGTAAGAGGCAATAAAGAGCAAGGTGAAGTTGAAGAAAGAAGTGAGGTGAGACTGGTAGGAGAGTACAAATTGTGTATTTCTGTGTATGGATAGTTTAATTTCTATGTATTCACTGTGTAAAAAGGAAATGAATTGTCACAGCTGCTATTCATCATTAGTGTGGGAGTTGTGGAACCAAATTCTAAATTTATTGACCCTGTTTTTGAATATTGTTGGTTAGGAGAGAGGGGTGAGGAAGATATTAGTGCATTCATGCAGTGCAGTTGGAAGACTTTGACATGGTACTGAAATAATTTGAACTCATAAAGGATAAAAAGGTCTGGAAAACATTGCCTTCCTTGGTGGGAGAATCTTTGAATCTTAATCTCTCTCATAATGAATGAACAAAATTGCATTAGTATGGGGAAATGAGGTTGGAGACCCAAAAATATGACAATACTCATCAAAATTCTAATGATGGAAAAGTGATACTTAAGGAAAAATGGAAATAGCTGGGTTATGTTAAAACACATTTCCTATCTCAGTACAAATTGTATCTCACTACTGGCAACTCTTTGAATTTTTTTGTGCCGAAACTTGCTAATCACACAATACATACGCTCTTCTTTTTGTAGGCGGCACTCCCCCTATCGCACACTGGAGCCAGTGCGTCCTCCAGTGGTACCAAATGATTACGTACCTAGCCCAACCCGTAATATGGCTCCCTCGCAGCAGAGCCCTGTGAGGACAGCTTCTGTGAATCAAAGAAATCGAACTTACAGGTATTTTCTCTACCTCAGCACAAAGTGTGATGGTCATAGTACCATAACTTGTTTAGATAACTTTCATTAAATCTCTCATTTTTCAAGCACTAAGTTCTTTTCCTCACTCTGCTCCCCCAAACCTCATCTGATTCCACCTCTTTCTCCTCATGTTCTGATGCAACTTTGAACTGTTAGGGAGTTGGAAAAAAAACACCAAACAAACATTACAACATCCAACTATCTCTATAAGATTAATAATTATAGTTGACCTGAAAAAATTATGGGTGAAATGTGGGAATTTTCATGTTGTTTTTTTGGTGGAACTTTACAGATGAAAAACTATATACAATAAGTTGTGCATATGGGATCGATACCATTGCAAATAAAATCAAATAATTTGTTTAGGAAAACTATCTGTATAATAAAGTTTCTTCAGACAGGCATTAAACTGGAGTAAAAGAAAATATTTTTTAGGTGTTCAGCCCCATTACTTATCACTTACATTTCTGGAGAATTGTTTCTTCTTTCTTAATTTTTTTCTTAATATATACTTAATTAAAAGGTGGTTCTTGAACTCTTTCCTGTGGTAAAAATTTACATTTGACTTGGAAGGCTTTTGAATTCCTGTATTGTAGCTGTATTCTTTTCAGAAAATTTGGGGACATGCTGGCGATATCTTACAACATATAAAAACTCATGTTGTGGTGACCCTTATTTCTTTAGCAGCAGTGGGAGTAGTGGAGGAAGCCACCCAAGCAGTCGGAGCAGCAGCCGGGAGAACAGTGGAAGTGGGAGTGTGGGAGTTCCCATTGCTGTCCCGACCCCCTCTCCTCCCAGTGTCTTTCCAGGTAAAGCATATGCTTCATCGTCACTCGTCCTTCCTGAATTCGAATTCAGTTTAATCACAGTGGACTGAAATCAGAATGGGTTTTTGGGTTTGTTTTTATTTATTTATTTTTGCCTCTAGGACTCTGTTAAGAAATCTTTATGCATTTATTATTTTTTATTAAGTACCATATAAGTTTATGCTCAGTTACTAGATTTTACATCTTTGGTCCTGTGGCTCATTTGGTGTGTTGAGTGAGGTCTCAGGGACCATCTTGGTAATGAGTTTAATGTTTAATTCTGGTTAGTGTTACTTACTAAGGGTGCACACATACCTTTGGACACAGTGGGGACTTGGGATGAGAACCATGACGGTAAGAAAGGATGGGGCAGATGTAAAAGTAATTTTGACAGTTAAATTTAGTTGACTGTTGAAGTTTAACACTCTTTGAAATGCTAGCCTCTTTTCTCTGAAACAGAAAAATGTGCTTATTTAATCTGAGATACACAGGTATTCCTGATTTACTTTTAAAAGAAGGTTTAAAAAAATTGAAGGGAGTTTCCTCAGTCATTAAACTGGAGTAAAAGAAAATCATATTTTTCATGTGGTCAGCCCCATTATCACTTACATTTCTGGAGAATTATTTCTTCTTTCTTCATTTTCTTAATACTTAATAACATGTAGGGATATTTAATAACATACTTATAACATACTTAATAACATGTAAGGATAGAAAATTCATATTTAGTTTACTTATAATAGAAAGTTCAAGACAACTTAAAACAATTATTTTTTACGACTCTTGATAGGATTTGGGGGTATAGTTCATCCTCCTCGGGTGTATGTTACCACGCCACACCCACCACCAATGTGCCATAATCCTCCACCATCGATGATACCCTTTTTTAAAGTCATGAGAAAGAGAGATTTGTTTTTCTAGATTCTTTTTTACCTGCTCTTTATGTGTGGGATGTTTGTTTTCTGATTTGTGTAATTCAACAAGAATAGTGTTCTTTTTTTAGTGTATTATGTTTAGTTTGATATACTATTTACAGAATGTTATGCTAAAAATAACAATGTAAAAGGAATAATTTTCTTCTAGAGTAGCAGCTCTCAGGTAATAAGGAATGCTTGTCTTTTATGAATTTAAAAATACATACGTTACTCTGAGCATCTTGAATAACTTGCTCTAAACCTAATAATCCTTTAACATAGCCTTATTCCTTTTTTTTTAAACACTCTTCTATTTGCTTAGTGTTGAGCACTGACTATCTCACATTAAGTTCTTTAGTGCCTTTTCTAACCTGCCTAATGGAACTGCCTCATTAATGCTGCATCTTACTCCTCTTTCCCCTTAGCCCCTGCTGGCTCTGCTGGTACTCCTCCCCTTCCTGCTACTTCTGTATCTGCCCCTGCCCCTCTTGTTCCTGCTACTGTCCCTTCCTCCACTGCCCCAGATGCTGCTGCTGGGGGTGCCCAGACCCTTGCTGATGGCTTCACTTCTCCTACTCCCCCTGTTGTTTCTTCCGCTCCCCCTACAGGTAAGAATTCGCTTCTTCCTTGGCAGGCACATCCAGTCATCTGTCTTTTTTGTTCTTGGAACTCTGGCTGTATGATTTTTTGTTTGTGCTTTGTATTTAAAAAAAAAAATCTGAGTAATTACTAACTAGAAGATGGGATGTGACCTATGAATAGAATTTCCTGAGGAAATCAAGGTATAATTCCTCGTAAGTTTTTCTAATTGAGTAGCACATACTTTTTTTGCTTGACTTTTATTTACTAGAGACTTGTGAATTTAGTATAGAGCCACCTTCTGTATAGTTTGAGAAGTTGTCATTGGAATTATTGTGTGTTATGGGCTAAGTCATTGGTAAAATGAAAAATCTGACTAATTCTAAGGTATATTTTACAGGAAATATTTGAACAGTGTGAACTTTTCAGTGTCTATTTTAACAGAATTTGTTGCTTATAGTAGCAGCATTGGAAACACATAGACAATGGAATTTTAAAGAATTTCAGGTTTTCTTAAGTTTGACTGATATAGTGTTTTAAAATTGCAGTCTAAAATTTGTTTTGATGGGGAAGGAAAAGCTTAATTGCTAAAAAGTGTGTTTGTGAAGTTAATTGTGATGCAGATTAGTAAACAGATTCTTACCTATTGTAAAACTATATGTGTTTGGTAACATATCACCTTACCTGCCAGTAAATTCATGGAATATATATCAGCTCTGCTGCTATAACCAGAGGTTTAAATGTTTAAAGGATACTTAGGGCTAAAATGGAGTTTGGATGGTGTTTTATGGGATAGCTTCTATAAAAGCACTCTTTAAGAAATTCTTTCAAGAGCAGGTAAATGCAAACGTGGCCTGATCTTTGCTCTACATATAGCTCTGTCAAACCAGCCTAGCTAATCGGATATAAGAATCTTGTTACACTCTTGCATCAATAAAGTAAAGACTGCATCTTGAAATTTGCTTTAGACCAAAAAAAGGGTAAATCACTCCCACCTGAGAGAACACTTTAGTAATTATAGGTGCTGGCTCATAGACCGCACTGAACAAAACATTTGTTACATGTGTGGCTAATTATAGTGCTTTTTTAAACAAAAAGCAAGGTAAAATACCTTATTAGCAATTTATATCAACATTTCTTTTATATGGCATCTTTGAATTTAAAGTATAAATTACATAAATTTTAAATGTATAGTTCTGTGAGTTTTGGCAAATGCATACAAATGATGTAATCATAACTCATTCAAGATGTAGCATAGTCATGTCAGCCCCAGATTTCATCCATACCCCCTTTGTGGTCAATCCTTCCCTTCTACTCCTAGTTCCCCCTACATCCCCTTTTACTACGGCTATTTTCTTATTGTGTTCTTTTGTATTCTGAATATAAGTCCTTTAGCAGTTACGTACTTTACAAATACTGTCTTCCATTTTTATCTTTTATCCATTTTTATCTTTTTGCTCTCTTAATGGTGTCTTTCAAACAGCAGTTCTTTAAGTCCAGTTTATTATTATTTTTTCTTTTATGGATTGTTTTGGTGTCCTGTTTACAAACTCTACCTTATACCAGATCATGAAGGTTTTGTCCTGCTTTCTTCTAGAAGCTTTTAGTTTTAGGTTTTATGGTTAATAACCAGTGGTAATTAAACTGTAGTTTCATTTTCAACCCAAGGCAAAGTAATTGCCTTATTAATGATATTAATAGTCTTAATGTGAATCACTGAGAACTGGTAGCATGGAGCTTAGATTGGATCTCACAATATAAAATTCATAATGGTGTTAACTGTCAGATATTTTTAACTGGATGATCTTAGGTTTGTGCTAGTTTATTGCAGATGAATAAACTACCAATAACTTATTTATATCTGGTGATTCAAATGACAAAAACTTACCATTAAATAATAGCACGGTTTTACATTTTTATCGTGTTTACAGAGACCTGACTGAGTTTCTTTACGTTTCAATACTCAAGATTTTTATACACTATTAAGTTTCAGGTTTTGATATTGTCATATATGTAGGAAGATTAAATTGTGCAGCAGATCTTGAGTGTTTTTTAATAATCTTTGAGTCTATGTGGATCCATGTTTGAAATGTATGAAGTTCCTGAAGACCAATTGTAGTCAGGTAAAACCATTTCACAGTCATGGTTAAGGTAAAAAATTGTCAGGTGATTTTTTTCTTTTTTTCCCACCTCTCCTCCCTTTTACTTTTCCTCCCTCCTCTTCCATTTATTCTTGCGCTCCCCTTTTGTCCCCTCTTCTCCCCCTCTTGCCACACAGAATCTTTTCCTTTAAACAAATTGTTACATTAAATTTATTAATTTGGAATAAGACTGTTAATTAACCATTTTATCTTTTGCTTTCTCACATGGCATCCTTGTTGAATCTTGTTAGTTTTCAGTGTTAGTGATTTTGGGGTGGGGGGAAAGGAAGGGAGCCATAAATATAATGATTTTGAAACTAGTTATTGACTTAATGAAAGCATATTAGTCATCTATTTAGATGTTACTTTTGCAAAAATAATTACACATCTATCTCCTGCTTTTGCTCTTGGATATGCCAGCTGAACAATAACTATTTCCTTACATTGTCAGATAGCAGTAAAGTTAGCTAACTATTGTTATTTTAAATAATCTTAAGGTTTGGGCATTGTACCTAATATATTTTATTGTCTGAGATAATTTTCTTTTAATACCAAGCCTATGTTCTGTCCCTTTTCCAGGTCATCCTGTTCAGTTTTACAGCATGAATAGACCTGCTTCTCGCCATACTCCCCCAACAATAGGGGGCTCGTTGCCCTATAGACGCCCTCCTTCCATAACCTCACAAACAAGCCTTCAGAATCAGATGAATGGAGGACCTTTTTATAGCCAGAATCCAGGTTGGCTTTTCTTTTGCATTCTTCAGTAGATATCTAAATAAAAGCCTTCATTACAGAGAAAAAATATTTAATTACAACTGAATGGCACATGATAGGTGATGATTACTACCTGTTGAATAAGTGGAAGCATGAATGCAAAGTTGCCAATAGTGTATCTTCCAGTTTTTTTTTTTTAAACCAGTACATGGTTTTCGTACATGCAACGTTGTAGAATTTAACAGAATCTTTTTAATGTGCTAATGGTGATTTGGTTTTTAAAATAATACTGTGGTGAACTTTATTTCCCTCTTATTAAATCAGATATCCTTGTTATATCAGTAGTAATGAAACTGAGAGTACATGAGCAACATTCATAAATGACAAAGGGAAAGGAAATGACTTTTTTTTTTAAGTTAAAGAGAAGATGTATTTATTTAGATTTTTGGTGTTAAAAAGAAATATTTGTTGTTCATCTGTTGGCTAAGGCAACATAAAGGTATAATTTGCTACTTCTGAATAACATCAAAAGAAAACTTTATCTGTAACATTTTCCTTATTTTATTTTTTATATAGGAAATGACATTTTTGAAGCTACTTTGTGCTAAGCAGTTATACTGTCTTACTCAATTCTTACACCAAACCTGTGATGGGAAAACTAGGACTTGAACATAATAATCCAGACATAGCAGTCATCTTCAATTGCATCATGCATGCAGAAAAATAAATCTGGCACATATTTAATATTGTGCATAATCATTATTTTTGCTTCTTACTCAACAAGTGTAAGAGCAAATACTAGATTTTATGACTATTGTAGATAATGGTATTTCAACTTGCTGTTTTTCTGCGTTTTTGCCGAGTCCAATAAGCCCATGTATGATCACTTCTAATATTAGGGGACCTTTTGGTGAAACCTTGTTGTATCCTGGGGAGTCTTGCAGGAGAAATTTGATCCTTCTTGCACATGAAAAAGAATGTTTTTATATTTATTATGTCAATTTGTTCTTATAATCATGTGATCATTTTCACCAGGTGAGGAAACAGACTGGTATCATCAAATTAGTTTGGAATGTAGGTCATCTGACTCTAAGCTTAATGTTCTGTCTGTTGTACTATCCTGCTTACCTTCAGGTTTAAAAAAAGAATATCTTAACCTCCATATTCTTTTTTGTCGGGGAAGAGGATTCCCACATTGTAAGTGCATGAGAGCCTGAGACCTTGGCAGTCTGTTATATAGCTACATCCTGGGAATAGTGCTCAGGAACTTTGTTAAATGTAGGATGGCCCTCTATTCCTTTATCCAAATGCCTTCACTGTTTTGGGTCCTCCTTGTAAGTTAAATGACTTCTATAGTGTAACTACTGCAAACTGTTGTTTGATTAGCAACTGCCTGTTTTGAAATATATTTATTTAACTGCTGTCTTTGGCCGCATTTAGTGATATTTGACTATACCATTCTTTTAAATTCATTTTGAACTAAATTTTGACAAATCTGTCTTTTTCATACATTATGCTTTTAAATTGCATGTTCCAAACCTCTATCTGTATTGATGTTATTCTGTACCTGAAGGCATTCTTTAGTCTTAAATTTTAGTTTATTAGCTATGGCCTGTTTCATAGTTCTCCTGAAGATAAGCTCTCTCCTTGTCCTTTTTGAAAGTCTAAAAATTAATTGCTTATGGCTGTAAGCCCTTCCTTGTCCTCTAATTCTTACATAGTTTTGAAAGAATGGTGTCGGTCCAAAATGAGCAACTTCCATAATGGAGCAGAGAGATGCTTCAATCTTACATCTTGGCACCAAGTGCACGTAATATTTAGAAAGCATAAGTATTTTGTGCTTTGTACATGTACATATCAAAATTTTAGTCTTCTGAGAACGAGAACCCTGTTGGTGGAATTTATTTGAATGCTGTTGAAGCACATTATTTCATACTTCTTTCTTTGTAAATCTGGTTTTAATATACTTGAAGATATTATATGTTGAGGTAGAAGAATACCCAACTCTGTGGAATAATTTTACTGAAAGTATTTTTCACATTCATGGAATTAAGGTGAAGAGATTATAGAACCTTCTGTATAATGTATGTGGCTGTTTTTTTGGTTTTTTTCTTATAGTCCTGTCTACTAAGTTCTGCCTTTTTCCCCAGGGACTTGGTAACTATATCAAGAGGGGGGAAATAGCATTGTTAGTTGATTGATCCGAGTGCTTTTTCTAAACAACAAAAAAATTTTTAACAAAATCTTGTTCTTTGAAAAATCCTTTTTGCAAAATTTAATACTTTGCAAATCAGTGTTCTAAAGCTGTTATTTATTTATATTTATTTATTTATTTATAGCTATTTTATTTATTTATTTATAGCTGTTTTATTTATTTATTTATAACTGTTATTATTCTAAAGCTTTATTTATTTATTTATTTTTTGAGGGACCCTCTCTGGTGGCCGGGGAATGAACCGGCACTGCAGAGGCTGCGGACAGCCTCTCAGCCCAGTGTTCAACCGCTGAGCCTCCAGGGGAGGCCCTACCTTTATTTGTTTTAGAATATTGTGTATCTTGTATGACACTAGTTTTAACAATGGTCTCTGTTTTTTCCACATTTCAAATGAGAAAATTAGTGCCTTCTCAAGTAGCTCACTTCCTGATTAACAAAATGATCCTAGGTGGTATTTTATGAGCATGATTTTTACTATCGGGGGCTTGACATGGATGTGTGCTTCCAAAGAAGTACGCATGTAAATTCAGGGAGGGTTTTTGTGAGATGGAAATCATCAGCACTACTGTTACAATAGGTTTGAGATTGAAAGAGCATTATAACATAGTAATTAAAATATGGAACACCTGTTGCCTAGTGCCACGTCCTAGGGGTAAACAGTAATTGTTTTCTAATAAAATTATTTCTGAAACAGGTTAATGAAAGGAACACTTTGATCAAGGCATAACTGAAATCCCTTTGGGTCTCATAGTTTCTTAGCCCTTCTGATTATTGTTCCGTAACCATACTCATTTTCCATCAAGACACCCCTTCACTGAATAGGATTAGAAAAAGTTAAGTACTTTTAATTCTTTTTCTAAGTTTCTATCCATGTTTAGAAAATATTTCACTCTTACATTACTTAAATGATTTCTTCACTGTAAAGGAAAATATAAGCAACCAAACTTGAATGGGCTATAAAATATGACCTCTTAAAGTAATATTTTTTAATTACTTCAGAAGTAGTATTTAGAGTGTTTTAGTTTAATTTTCTTAAGTTACTTATAAAGCTGCAAAAGTAGGATGTACAAGCCTCATTTTTTTCCCCAAAAGCCTCATTCCTCCTCCAATCCCTCCGCTCCCCCCCCCCATTCTTTCAATTGGATATTTTAAAGCACTAAGCCTCAAAGATTATGCTCCAAGTGATTTTAACCTAAAAGGTCATGCTGAAAAGTCTGTACATTACATCAGAACAGAGTCCTCCTCTGAGTTTGGTTTGCTCGCAGACCCTTTTATTTTTTATATATCCACATGTTGCTATTTGCACATAAGCAGTAGTTCCTACAGTTGTCTGCTTAACCTCTCTTCATCAACTCCAATATCTGGTGAGCCTATTTTTATACTTTACATTACTTCCTAATTGTGTATAGTATTGGTGGTTATAGGGAAAAGGTCTGGTGAGATGTAAAATCAACTTAGCTAAATGGAGTAAAAGTAAGTTTATAGTTACTTCCTGCTCTTAACTGTTCATGAGATGCCTAGGACTAGAACTGAATATTGCACATCAGATCCTTGCTTAATTTATCCCAGAATAGTTCATTTTCGGCAACACTAAGGAACATAAATCTAATCTAAAGTAGGATATTCTGATTCATAGGAATTCTGGTCAGATGAAATCTTACATGCTCCAAAATGAAAATGTTGTGATATTTGAATTAATTTGGACCCACATGTAAAAGGTTTATCCTGGGCAAAAAAATAATAATAATAATTTGGGTGACCTTTGTAAACTCCAGATGTCATTGAATTTTTTAACATGACTGAGGACTGGCTTTGAAAAAAATCTGACTTGTTCTGTTATAAAGTGATTCTGTTTAAGGAAATTCCAGGATTGCTTTTTTTTTACCTAAGCTGCTCTTGGTGGACTTTTAAAAACAAGTATAATTTAGATTTTCACTTTTAGAACTAGAAAAGATAGAAAACATTCATCTTAAAAAATAACTCATCCTACCTAAAAAGAGTGTTCTAAGTTAAACATCTATTTATTCCTTTTTAGGCTCAGTAACATGTAATTTTAAAAATTTTGGATGAGAAACAATGACAGAAGGTGGGAGATTTCCTACTTTTCTGTTACAGGGGACGTTGGGACAGGTGCTAACAGGAGAACATTCCATCTTATTTAATATGAACATACATCTGATCTCCACTTGTGCCAGTCGCTGTCTGCTGCTGTTTGTTTTATCTCTTTCATCTCTGCTATTATCCCTGTTCATTGTGTCTTCTTATCCCAGTGGAAACGTGGTAGTATGGATATATCAGCAGTTGTTGCAACCCCCTAAGTAGGAGTAGACACACAACTTAAGAACTTACTACAGAGAAGTATAACTTTAGAGAAAAACCTAACCAAGAGGTCTTTTTTATTTTATTTTTTAAGATTTATTTTATTTTATTTATTTATTTATACAAGCACTGGGTATAGTCAGAAGTGCGGGAGGGTGAGAGAATTCACCAGAGCCAGAGCGGGGAGCAGAGCAGGCAGAAGGACCGAAGCACACTGCTGAGGGGAGCAGTGGGCGGCAGGAGAGGTCTGCGCGCCATGTGGGACCCTCCTCCGGTGGCCGGGGAGCAGCTGGGGATTGAACTGGCACTGCAGAGGCTGCTGGCAGCTTCGCAACCCAGCGCTCAACTGCTGCATACCGGGGAGGCCCAAGAGGTCTTTTTTTAAAAAAAGGTATCAATTTCTAGGGTTTCACTACTGTGTAAAATTTAGATCTTTTAAAATATCTTAAATTTAGATATCTTAAACTAGATATTCCTCAGGGTTATCTGCTTAACTTTTATCTCTACATTATAAAGTTTATTTATTTTAAAGATTTATTTTTTATTTATACAGGAGCCGGGGCACAGGCCAGATGCGTGGGAGGGTGTGAGGATTCACCAGAGACAGAGTGGGGAACAGAACAGGCAGACTGACGAAATACACTGCTGAGGGGAGCAGCGGGCGAGACAGGAGAGGTCTGTTGCGCCATGTGGGTCTCTCTGTGGCTGGCGGGGATGGAACCAGCACTGCCAAGGCTGCGGACAGCTTCACAGTGTTGGGCTCAACCACCTGCACCACCCGGGAGGCCCTATCTCTACATTATATATGGTATTTGTCCATGGACAGCAGTTTTCTCGCTGCCAGTCACTGCCTGGTCTGTACCTCTCAATTTTTCTCACATACTCTACCAAACATTTCACTAGCCTCCAGTATTTATGTGTCAGTCAGTTTTATGCATCTTTATCATACATTATCTCTGCCTGATCCACCTATTCAATGTGTTTGTTTTCCTGCACTGCCAACCAAGGCTAGTGTTGTTTATGGCACCTCTCTCTGAAGACCACAAATCTAAAACTCATCTGTTGCTCTCCTTTCATGCTCGCCAAGTATCCTTGCTTGATAAGTATTGATAGTTTTCCCACAGTATTACTACATTTTTTTTCTTTCTGTTTCTACTGCCTTGATTTTTTTTCTGCACCACCCCTGTGGTTAGAGCTCTCCATACTCCCTACCCCCCCAATCTTTGTAGTCACTTTGTAAAGTGATTGCATTATGTCTTTTTCATACCACATTTATGGATCACACTCAAAGCAGTTCATGAATCTACTGTTTCTATGGTAAGGTGATGATAAATCAGGTATTTGATGCTAGGCAATGTTGAAGTCCAGTCTCTTTCCACTAAGTATTCTTTCGCCTAAGGTAAGATTCTTTCCTATTTTATACAGACTCACTCACTTTTCCAGGTTTTGTACTTTCCCTTTGGGGTATTTTACACTAGCCTATTGCAAACATTTTGGGGCCTGAAGTGGTCATTCTGTTTTAAAGCCTTTGCCTTTAGTTGGTTCTCAGATTGTCTTGGATTTTCTTTCTCAACCTTTGTCTCCTTTCTGAGATCTTTTTTCTTCTTACCTGATTGAAGGTCATTTTTATGTAGCTCGCTTCAGTACTATCTCTACCACCATCATCATACCATAGTCACCATGGCCTTCTCACCACCACCAGCATCACTAGAGAATTGCTTCAAGTATTGTTGGGTTAAGGTTATTATTTTTGTTTTCTTGAATAGAGTATGGTCTCTTTGAGGGCCGTGATCCTTATTCATCTTTTATTAGTATTAACTGTCATTTGTAGCTTAGAAAGAAGATGTGTACCATAGTTATATCTATTCTGAAGAAAACTAAATCTTGGGAAATTGTTCGGCATGTACTTTGCTTGTGTATTTACATACATCAAACATTTGTTGCAGGCTTACTAGTGGTAGGTACTGTGCCAGGTATCTAAGACAGAGGGAAAGACATATTGGGGTGAGGTGGGTGGGGAAGAATGATTTGAATGAAGCCAGTATTCTTCCGTAGGATCAGAGAGAATATGTATTTGGTATAGCAGGTGGTACGAAGTTTGGTTATGAAAAATCGTAATGACATAGACCTGATGAGAATGATCTTCATATGTGTCTATTAGGAGAGTGCTTCTGCTTAGAAGGAAGTCAGTTAATATTTGTTTAATGAATGAAGGTTCAATGACTTTGTTAAGGAAGTAGTAAAAAGTACAAATTTGGAAGTTGGGATGTAATGTTTATTTTTTCTCTTATATTGTCAAACATTTACACTTGTAATCTTCAAGGTAAAATCCAAAAACTTAATTATTCATGGTAATCTCAAAAAATTCTTTTCTTTGAGAAAATATGTTCTTGATTTGAAAAGATCAGCTTGCCATTATGTTAGTGTAGATCTATGTATGACAAATGCTTCTTACTGTAATTTTTAAAAATTTCCTTAAAACTCTCTCTAATACTTTATTTTGTATCTTAATGAATTATCCCTCTAAAGAGGATCTTCAAGATGGCTTATAAATTGTTTGTGCATAGTGGTTTCCCTCCTTATATGTTCGTTTTATTGTATTATCCTTTCCTTTTAATATAACTTGCCCTTACCCCTTATCCTCCACACCTTTTTTGTTTTTGCAGTATCTCTTGCTCCTCCTCCTCCCTCCATCCTACAGGTAACTCCCCAGTTACCTTTAATGGGATTTGTGGCCAGAGTCCAAGAAAATAGTAAGTTTATGTCTTCTTTATGCTGTAGATCAGATTGCAGGCATAAAATGTCATTTACATACGATTGGCTGAATAGTCATTCATTCATTGATACTTCATACTTCAAATATTTGAATACTATGAACAAATCACTTTATGATCAGCTAGTGCAATGGTAAAATAAGTGAAGCTGTCTGCTTTCAAGTAACTTAAAATCTGGTAGTGAAGATAAGACATATAAATATAAAACAAAGCACATGTAAGAAAAGAAAGATCATGTGTAACTGAGGAGATGTTCATTCATTAAATAACCCACCTTTTCCTCTCTCTGGGTTGCTCAAACAAGTAGTCTAATTTCCTATCACCGATATTTTAGAAATTTGTGACTGGCCTGATAATCTCTCTCTGTCCTGTGATTCCAGGTGTAAAATTGTCCATGCCAGGGTAGGTCCCAAAGAACCAAATTGCCAGTCTGTTTCCATGGATTGACAATGAATTTGTGTTGGCTTGTGGTCTGGTGTTGTCATGTAGGATCATATAACTAGTATTATTGATACATTAAGTCTTCTCTGGGGAAACATTAAGGAAGCTCAGGGGAATCATGTCTTATAGAACAGTAGACCTGTATCAGCGTTCAGATAGGACTGGTGTTATAGAGACCAGTGAAAACATTCTGCATGCTAGATAATTACCTTGTTGTGTGTAGTCTTCAGGAGGAGTCACAGCACAATCATGAGGATGTATGTTGGACATGGAATCTGAACTAGGGGAATTACTATTAATGAAAAATTTAATGTTGTCAGACTAAGTCAGCCAGTGTGTCCATCTTGTAACTGGGATGGCTTCACAAAAGGCATAGAAATATTTGTACTATATTAATTAGAACTCCGACTTATTTGGAAATAAGCTTTGCCAATATTAGAATGTAAGCTCTCAGAGAGCAGGGATTGCTTGCCTGTTTTGTTCACTGTTTCTCTAGCAATGGAAAAGTGACACATAGCAGGGCCTCCCCTGGTGGCGCAGCGGTTGAGCGCTGGGCTATGAGGCTGCCCACAGCCTCTGCAGCGCCGCTTTGTTCCCCAGCCACCAGGGAGGGTCCCACAAAAAAAAAAAAAAAAAAAGTGACACATAGCAAACACTCTCAGGCCTTTTTTGTACTTTCACAGCTGACTAAATGGCCCCTTAATGACACATTCTTTCTTAAATTTGGTTCAGATCCAGTCTTACTTGCCTGAGGGCTCAGTCTCTTTCAGGTACATTTGCATCTCTGCTAATTTCTGAAGATAGTCGACTTCTGTTTATTAGCAGGCACCCCAAGAGCAGCTCCAGCATTTACCACTTTGTGTTTGCCTTTTTGGGGTAGTTATTTTTTCCATTTCTTCCCTTAGTCATGTATATTGTGCACTTACCAGATGTATAAAAATGAGAATCTGTATATGAGGTGTGCTGTGCCTGATTTTATAGACCCTGTAACAGGACTTATACATTCAAATGAATGTTGTCCTCTTCAAAACATTCACCTTGGAGAGATGTACCTGTCTTTTGGAATAATCTTCATAACTTTTGAGTACATTATTTTGAAGATATTCTGTGCTAGCAGATAGTTAAATTTTGATGCCTGGAAGAAATCTGGAATTATTTGGAACCTGTTTTAAGTAGTTAAGGAATAAACAGTGCAGCTGTGACCCTTGATATATGTTCTTAAAATCCATGTATGGCTCCCAGTTGCTCATCAGATGGTTTATACTGTTTCAAAGCCCTTCCTGCTTAGTCTTCTTCAGCTTCTTCAGGCGTATTTCTACTAAACTTTGGTCAGTTCTTTAGGGTTTCCTGCTTTCTTACCTTTGCATTTATTTTTTTCCCATTACATCTGATGTGAAATATCAACCCCCGGCCATTAAGTCTTACTCATTCTTCAGGTTTCAGGAAATCTTTCCCGACCCACATAAGAGCTTTGGTTTACTGCTGTGTTTCTTCCATAACAACTTAAAGCACTGCCCGTAACTATAAATGAAAGTTTGGTTGTCCTTTCCATGACTTTTGCCAACTCCCCTGTTCCATCCTCTGAGCGTCCAGTACCTAGCCGTAGTGGGTTTTTAGTTGTTGCTTGTTGAATGAATAATAATAAAGCTGACTTTAATGTTACTGAATTTCTTACCCCATAATAGTGTAGCTTTTAAGATAACACGTATTGGTGTTCAAATTCCTGCTCTTCCACTTATTTACTAACAGACTACTTAATCTTGAAAAGCCAGTTTCTGTATTCATAAAATGAGAATTAAAAGACCACTTCCTGAGAAGAAAGGATAAATTAACTGATGTATTATAAAGTACTTATTGATTAACTGGAAAACTTGAAGTGGAAAATGGTAGGTAGTCTTACTAAATTGCTTCTGAGGCAGTTATAAGAAAAGGTAAAAATGGCAGCATCTCTGAGTAATTTTGTAATAATATAATTTCTCAAGGTGATTGTTTTGAAAGACAAAGTTCCTTTGGATCTATGTGTCTGTGCAGTTGTTTAAAGTCAGTCTCTATGCTTTATAAATGCAAAAACCCCAACTGTATGTAATTTATTATGTAAAGATATGCTAAAGTCACATTATCAGTCTTTTCTGTTAAAAGCCTGAAAACTATTTGAATAAGTTTTAACATTTATGAGTTGACAGGCACAGAGCCTGTAACAGATAGGAGGAACTGGTGTAGAACAAAGTACGATGCTGCCGTGGCTCAGTCTCACCCGCCGTCGGCAGTCTTCTAAGCTCCGTTTGCTTCAGTCATAGGCTTAGATTAAAAAATAGAAAATAAACAGATTTCTGAGAATTTCATGGAAACAGTACTTGTGCCTTATGAATGAATTAGTGCTGTTCATTAAAACTGACAACTAATAAATACAGCTTTATTCAGTTTATTTGGCTGAACTATGGTGAAGTATGTACAAAACATTTTCAAAGCTTTGCGTTCCCTAAGGGGTGATTTTTAGATATTACTATCTGCTGATACCTGAGCTGTGGAAGCAGATTTCTGTGTAGGTGTTTTAAGTATTTTTAAATCAGCTTGGGTATATAACTGGAAGAATTTGGATTATAATCTGTCTGAATCATGAAATTCTGTATGTAACGCCCACCGTCAATAATAAAACTGACTTCTCATAGATGAAGTTATACCCAAATTTGTGGCTTATCCCCACTAATTTGATAAAATGCTATTTAAAAAATTTTTGAGAGAAAAGTAAATTATTATAATGTGACTTATTCAGTGGACTTGCTTTGTTATAAATTAAATATTATGTTAAAATAATATTTCTGACAATCATTCCTGCTTGGGTATACTGTGTAGTGAGTAGTGATCTATATTGTATTGATCTTTCTTTAAAAAAGAGGATTGTGTATTAACATAAATAGGTTCCAGAGGTTCAGTTAATAATAATTTTTGCTGCACTATTCAACATTATCAAGACTAACCCAAGGGAAGGAGAAAGTCATGCTTGGAGACTTGGAACAGTATAGTTGGTAGGGAGGTTTCTCTTGCCCACTCAGTTTTTGGAAGATTATTATTTTTAAGTCTGGGTTCATATTCCATGAGTGTAGAAGCTTGGATAGGAAATACTGAACTTTGCATAATCTGTAATTTTGTTATCAGCTTGATACATTCTTAGTTTCAGATACACCGCCTCCACCACCACCTGTGGAAGAACCAGTCTTTGATGAGTCCCCTCCTCCACCTCCTCCCCCCGAAGATTATGAAGAGGAGGAAGCTGCTGTGGTTGAGTATAGTGATCCTTATGCTGAAGAGGACCCACCATGGGCCCCAAGATCTTATTTGGAAAAGGGTAAGTTTCAGAGGGATTTTGGAGGATTGGGAAGAAACTGCTACATAGAAATGAAATTTAGTGGTACCAAAGAGAATCTTGTTTATTTTCTACTAAGAAGTAAAGATTTGCTCACATTACCTGTATGTTCTTATTTAGTTTACAAGCTTCTTTGTTTTGAAGGTCACATGACTGAATTTCTGTGACTGATTTTTTATTGATGGTTATGTATTGTTCTTAGTGAACATTTTTTTTATAATTTCTGCAAGACAAAAAATTTAAAAAGGAAGGGTTTTTCTGGAATGCCTCAGGAAGAGAATTTTTCTGAAGTATTAATTTTTCCTACCCCCATGTTTTAAAGTATTCTCTTTTGTGGCATCTTAAATATTTAATTATTTCTGTATGAAACTTCCAAAGAAGAATGATTTCTCAGTTTCTTTATAAAGTAGTAGTGGGCATTTCTTTTAGTGAAAAATTTCTTCGAATAAAGTAGTTAACCAATGACATGGCACTTTGGGGACATAAACTTCCAAATCTGATTAATTAGCTCAGAAAACAGTGTGCTTTCTTGAAGGAAATTTTCTGTTTAGGAAATCAAAGATACTAAGTCACTGAGTCTTAAAACTGACTACATTAGAATCGCCTGGGAAACTTATATTAAGAAATTGTGGACTTTCACTTTTGTTCAAGATAGAGCAATGGTAGTCAGATTTATCCTGCTTTGAGGTGTTGGCACTATTTAATGCCACTATACAATTGAGTAAAAAGAAGCTTAGGAAAGTTAAGTATATTCTGGAAACTTGTAAATGGTAGAGATGGGATTTGAGTTAGATAATTGTAACTTCAGAGCCCACATTCTTAATCATCATCCTAAGCTTGAGTTGGGCTCTCGCTGAACTGGGATTGAGTCTTCACTGCACTTTTGCTAGCATGAAATTCTTCCTGGCAAATTTGTATTTATTTGTCAGTACCTATTTTATATCCCTACCTCGTGTCAAGCCATAAATTATTATTTTTCTTAAGATAACGTTGGTTTACATTTTTTGTTGGTATTTTGGGAGGCTAGTATACCCCTCTGCACCTTAAGTATCACCACCGTATTACATAACCCCATCAGCAGATCATCCATAGTCCATCCCCATCGTCGACATCGACATTGCTCCCTTCCCAATTTGTTCTCGCCCCTGCCTCCCCTGTGTGCCTCCCCTCTGTAGTCAGCTTTCAAGGGTTTGTTTTTATCTGACCCGTAGTTTGGTTTAAGGTACACCATCTGGTATTTTTCTTTCTCCTTCTGCCTTATTTTGCTTAGCATAATCCCTTCCTGCTCCACCCCCGTTGCTGCAAATGGCATGGCTTTATCTGTTTTGATTGCTGAGTAATATTCCATTGTATATATAAACCACATCTTCTTGAGCCACTCATCTGTTTGGGGCACTTAAGTTGTTTCCATAATTTGGCTGTTGTGAATAGTGCTGCAATAAACATGGGAGTGGAAGTTCCCTATTGAATTGGTATTTTTGAATTTTTCAGGTAGATGCCTAGGAGTGGAATTACTGGCGTGTGTGCCAGATCTCTTTTCAGTCTTTTGAGATACCTTCATCCTGCTTTCCGTAAGGGCTGGACCATTCTGCATTCCCACCAACAGTGCAGGAGGGTTTCCTTTTCTCCACACCCTTGCCAGCTCTTACTGTTTCTGGTCTTTTTGATGTGGGCCATTCTCATCAGGGTGAGGTGTTAGCTCATTGTGGTTTTGATTTGTATTTCCCTGATAATAAGTGATGATGCACAAATCAGCTGGGGCAAGTTGCACTGTATTTCACAAGCCCTATTGCAGTTTTTGTGTCTCACATAAAGATTAAGGTTGCAGTAAGAAACAAAGTATGTTTTTCTTAAAGATAGATTTTTATGGAACTATTGAGGGAAATTCTGGTGTTATGAAAGAGAGGATCTTCTTATAAAAAATAATTCTTGAAGTGGATTTGAGCAAGTTATAGGGTATCCCAATTTAAACTGTTAAGGTTCATATAATACTTGGACCCATGGATTGTCTTGTATATTATTGAAAGGTCCCAGTTACCAAGTTATTTAAGGAATGAAAATCACAGGAGAACTTAACAGTTATCTTGTTTTTTTTTTTTTTTTTGTGACATTTTTGTTACTGTGACTATGTTGATATGGTGGCATAATGCAGCATGTTCTGGAGAAAATATTAGACTGTCTTCAGTCACACACAGAACTTGTGGAAGTTTCAATATCGTTCCCCTCAATGAATAGGCACAAACTTCAAGGTGAGAGAAAGGAGACAGCGAAATCTACTACTCCCTTAGTGTAGCTGATGTCCTCCCTTGCCTTCATGGTGTATCTTACTGTACTAGTATAATTCCATTCAAAGATACTTTTTTTTCTCTTTTTACAAAATATGGTCATGGTGCTTCAACGATAGCTTTTCTCAAAAAAAAAAAAAATCATCTTATTCTGGGATTCTCTTTCTTCAATGAGGCATTTCCTCATGGACTGTTTAAGGGTAAGTTTGACTAAATGTGATTTCTTGTCATTTAGACTGTCTTGAACCTAACCTCACAAGATGGGATTCCATTACTTAGGACTGGGTATTAGAAAAAAGAAGTTTTTATGTGGAGGCCCGTGTTTCAAAGTACTCCAAGAGCTGGGGAAGAATTGCTATTCACTTAATTGATTCTTTCTAGGAATGTTACTCTTTTTCACATCCTTTTTTTTCCCCCCTCTCTAGTTGTGGCAATTTATGATTATACAAAAGACAAGGAAGATGAGCTGTCCTTTCAGGAAGGAGCCATTATTTATGTCATCAAGAAGAATGATGATGGTTGGTATGAGGGAGTTATGAATGGAGTGACTGGGCTCTTTCCTGGGAATTACGTTGAGTCTATCATGCATTATTCCGAGTAATACTCAGCAGGGCTATATTTCCCTCCCAGAATAGTCAGGTCTTCCCAGATTATGAAGAGGCCCTGGGGATTTCCCTCCAATGAAATGAATGAAGGATACAAATGATAAAAACTACTTAAGTTTTTTGGTTTATCCCCCAGTATTAAACAAAAAGCAAGCTGAGTCTGAATACATGGAACTTGCTGCCTTCACTTGTACTATGCTGAGCTGTCTGGATTGAAATAAAGTGAGCATTTTTGAATATGTCAGAGCATAACTGTGTAAAATGAATCAGGTTAATACTGATTCAGAAAAAACATCTGGGATCTTTCTCAGGAATACTGTACACCCTTGGGATTTCTCCTCCTGCAGAACCTGTGGCATTGGATGTTTTTCAGTGCCTGTGCTGAGGGGTAAGCCTCGTGGTCAAGTGTGTACCCTAGCTCCACTTTCTTCCAATTGTATGAGGAGGGAACTGATATTTAAAAATCATACTTAACCCTTTTTATAATTGTTTTGGATGGCATATTTCCTCTTTAACGCTGTAAATTCTGCATTTTCTCAGCACTAGAGTGCACCAAATGAGTTAATGCTGAACTGGTTTGCATCCCTTCATGTTTCTCAGTTTGCAGATTATGAGGATGATGAAATGTGAGTCTCCAAACATTCTGAGGGTGTTTAACAATTGCCAGTTTGATTTTAATGTGCTGCTGCTGCAAGAGTCTGCATTGCCACTATTGGCCAGTGTATCCAGATGTGTGAAGTGTGGTAGGCTGGTTACATGCTGAAGTAGGCGTGCAAAGCTAGACACGATGGTTCCTAAGCTTCTGAAGATACTGACCTTTAGAAATGTCCTGCTCAAATAGGCATCCTAAATCCTTGCCTTAGGTGCTGTTTTGAGGAGTAGGATCTTGGAGGTCAGGCCAACTGTTTTCTTCATTTCACTATTTAGAAAAACGGCTTTTTTTTTTTTGAAAATAGTTAATTTCATGTCTCTTGATGGTCTCTGGGAATAAAAAGGTTGCTACTGTTCTTCCTGAATGTTGTTGGTGGCCAAACGGTTAGCTGTTTACTCACTTAATGCTATGAAAAGTAAATAGTCTCCCGATTTTGTGTAATTGGCCTCTGGAGTAGTTACTCTTGGTAAGAATTTGAAACTTATAGCACAGACTAAGTAGAGTGGGGGTAAGGCTAAATACTAACCCATCCTCATAAAAATTTGTATTAAGAGAAATTTTTTTATCTGTACACTTAGAGCTTCAGATCCAGTGGAGTCTTGTTGGGCACATGGCTTTAATCATTTCTGTATTTGATATAAGAAATATTAAAATCCAGGGGGGTCTTGCTGCTCAGCAGGTGAGCACTGTGGTGAGGCACAGTCAGCTCAAGGTCAGGCCCCAAACTGCCGTGGGTTATTCCTGCTTCCAGTGACTTGACCAGAAAAGAGCTTTGCCAGGTAACTTCCCTGGGCAGGTGACAGGGGACAGAAAGTTGCATATATTTCAAATGTGGGCCTTGGACATGATGGTGCAGAGAGGGGAACAAGATTGAGAGATGAGCAAGTATAGCAGTATATGAGGGAAGATGATGTAGGCGAAGTTAGTATTTCACTTTCGAGTCTGTTATCTCAGAATAAGTATCAGCAGAGATACACACAGTATTACCTTACGAGGACTTTGTCTTTGTTTCCCCCCTCCTCCCGCCATTGTAAGTTAGCGGTTTGCTTTGATTTCTCCAACACATTGACTTTAGCATTCATTAACTTGCCTCCAGGTGAGGTTCTCCTTCACACGTTTGTTGGGTCATTTGTTATCTTTTATTCCTGTTTTTCCTTCAAAGTAATAGCTGTCGCTGCTCAGTGATCTTCCGTAGAGCCAACACAGAGTATACTTGGATAGTCTTCACTTACCTGAGTGTTGGCATATGGCTAGGCAAAGTTGTAAATTAGGTGACCCATTTATTTAAATAACTTTTTCCTGAGAAAGTTTAGTGGATTAATAAGGAAGAGGTTATTTTGAGATCCGCAAATAGTTCCCACAGCTAACAACTACAGAAGTAGAGGACGACTGTGCAAAAAATCGGTGTCAGTGAGCTGGCCCGTTGGACCCCTGCTTAATCGGGGAATGCAGAAGACACTGGTGAAGGTCTTTATACTTACAACCTACTGCAGGGGGCTCTATGGGTCGGCTGATTTTTTTTTCCATATTTAGTGCTAATGTGTATAATTTTTGTTTTTAAAAATACCTGCTATATTTTCTGAATACTTTAAAGTTTTGAATTGTGTATGTTGTCTTGGAGGGATACTATGTAATGATGATGGGTCAGGCCTACAGTAAATGGAGACTTTTAATGTATGTAATATTTCTTAGATTGCATGCTATTAATAGTCTGTGAGGGTACTATCTTTTTGTTTTATTGTAAATTTCCCCCACTTTTTATAAATTACAAGATGTTGGTAGTAGGAATTCCAAATAAATGCAGAAATCTTACGTGCTACATTATGTAGCAAAGATGACCCAGTCTAAAATCTGCTGACCAGTAAGCAACCATTTTATTAGGATACAAGAAACCTTCAGGGGCTTTTTCTTCGCCCTTTATTTATTTTTTTTTTTTGACTCATGTCCACTCCTTTTCCCTAAACAAAACAAAAAGACTTGATAATTGTTCTACTTGAGAGGTTATGGGGATATGAATAAAGCTGTTTACTAATTGTCTTTGACTTTATGGCCAAGGTGATAAAGCAGAATCGTGTCAAGATATCAAAATCTAGACCTGAGAGATTCAGCCTGCTGTGTTTGGAATAGATACTTTAATGTCTTACTCAGTACTTTCCACCTTTCTGCTAGCTCTCCCCATCTTAGGGTTGGCAAGAGCCATTTACTGTTCCCAAGTCACTAGGTGAGACATTTTTATCCCGCTTTCCCCCTCCTGCTGCTATTTATCACCCAGGTAGAATGTTTTAATGCATTTTTTTAGTGGTATTTGTAATGTAGCTGTGCTCCTTATTAGCAGTCTTATGTTGATTAAAGATAATTGAGTTTTCTGCTTGAGTCGCATCAAAATGATGGTAGTTTGCTTTTATCCTTTTGTGTTCATTTTCTTTTAGCAGGTGACCTTTCTGCAATAAGAACTGTTTTGTTTTTCATTACATTTTCTCCTTGGTGGAGAGTGTATGGCATGTCCCGAAGGCCACCTTTCCCTCTGAAAAGGGTTTGCATGGAGGAATTGGCAGGTTACTGCCAAATCTTTGAAAATAATGGGGATCTGAATCACTTTCCAGCTGTTCACTTCTGACCATCTTTGGCCATGAATTCCTGATTTGCGTTAAGGTGATGATTTCCCTTACATGATTGGTTTAGAATTGTAGAATTTTAGAGCTAGATGAGACTGTAGACATTTTAGTTCATTTTATTGATGAGGATAGATACTTTGTTTCAGATTAACAGCTAGTAGAGTCCCTGACGCAGTGCTGGCCTGGTACTCTTTCTACAGCTGTGTTCATTGAATGTGCTTTATTTGTCTTTAAAGAGTTCTACTTGATTGATGTCTTCAGGAAGATACTTGAAAAGCTGTGCCATGTTACAGTAAACACCCTAAAAGTATTCAGACTGTTTAAAGGAGTATAGTAAGTGTAACCTTAATTAGTGAAAATATTCATTTTTAACTCTTCTAAAACCACTTAGTGCAAATGGTCTTTCGATACAGTGCATGTAGCAAAAACATTCTTTCAGCAACTGGTAGGAGCACAGCAACAAGCCTTATTTGAGAGAGCCTTATAAAACAGTTTGAAGGCATTTTGCTCATTACCTTAAGTTTCCGATCTGTTTCTTATTGTGACTCTCATAATTGACAGATGAAACGACAGGGCCTAGCTGTGTATAAATGATCCTTGCTAAATCTCTTAAAGTTTTTGTAAAAAGCAAAACAAAACTTATTTTCACATTAAAATGCAAATGTCTTTTGCAACTTCAGAATTCTATGGAAAAGCAGTTTTTATCATATTGTGTCCATGCATCTTTTCTCTTAACAAAACAATTTGTGATCTGGCCAGTTGTACGTTGCTCCCAAAGAAAGGCTTGGTGTTAGGAGTGCAGGAAAACTTGAGGGAGCAGTTTGCTGCCAGTAATGTTTCTTTTGTGTGCCATTGAACCACCTCCAGATGAGTGGGGGAACATTTCTTAATTTTGAAATTGTATTTGGAATTGTTGCAGTGTACTACGAACTTGACCTAAATAAAATCCCACAAAGTATATCCAAGTGTCTTGTGAATAATGTGTTTATGCTGTGTTCATACAAGTAATCTCTAAATGTGTTGGGTAGAATCCTCCTCTGTTGTTCCAAACTGGGGATATTACTGAAGTTTTAAACTTGAAATTTTGCTAAGTAAACCTGAAGTTTTCTGATTGCCTTCTGTGTTTTCCCACCTCCTTAATGGATTTCCTCTGTGCCTGTAATTTATGAAGAGAAATATTAGGCCTGATAAATCTAGTCTCAAAGATTAGTATCTGAGCTGTTGTTAATTATCTTAATTGATCTCCTTTGGGTTGTTCTGGAGTTATACATCTGGTTGCAATGCTTTGTGGGTTTGTTCCATTGTCTTGACAGCCTGTTGTTCACTGTACACTTCTTCCTCTGAAGCCAAATTAGAGGCAGTTTCTCCACTACAACATGAGACAGATGGTGAGTGAAGGAGAGCCTTTTTTACCCTAGTTTGATGAATAGATTTGTAAATAGACTACATGCTGTGATACTAGAACTTTGAAACAAAAAACATCCTATTTTGCAACTTGTTATATACTTTGTTTAAAAGCTAACATTTAATAGCCAAATCTCTCTAGTCTTTTGGTATAAATTTTCTTAGGTTAACCAGTTGAAATACATAAAATTGCAGTTTATTGATCTTCAAACTTAACAGCAAAATCAGGTTCTTAATGGTTCCGATCCACAGTCAAGTCTCCATGTTTAAATGAAATCTACTTTTATTAAGGATTGTGTAAGGCGACATAAAAACGTAACTGAAAAACAAATGTACACTGTATGACTGCTGTCCTAAGCTATTACAATAGTTTACTGACAGTAACTGACAGGAGTAACTTGGAATATAACTTAATCCAGCAGTAGAACAAAAACATCAGTAGTATGGAATATATCTCTCTCATATATCTATATATAGCTATATATATATTTATATCTATATATAGGTTTGCACAATCAGGGAGCAAGGCACATATGAAATGAGCATACAATTGAGCAGAACAAACAGCAACAAAGCGAAAGGAAAAAAAAGGAACTTCATTTTTACCAAACTCTCCATAATCATTTGAATGTCCTCTATTGAGTAATTTATAAAGCAGTTATTTTTGCCTTTTTCATGCTTTAAAAAAGTATATTCCTACATTGTATCTTTATTGATGACAAAGTTCCCACAGCCTCAGTGTCAGTTTTTTTTTTAAAGAAGTGGGAAGATTAAATCCCAATTAAACATGTGCAGTTTTTCTAAACAGGAAACAATGTTTTTACAACAGTTAGCACAAGGTAATGGTATTTTAATGTACATTTCTATAAAAGGAATTCACTAGTGGCTGATAATAAAAGTAAGCAAAATCATCGGAAACATTCCAGTTAATGCTTATTTTCTAGGAGGATTATTTACAAGTAGCGAGGAGGTGGGATCATGAAAAATGGCAGTTTTTGGTATTAGGTTACAATCTAACAAACAATGGACAGTTCCCAAATGCAAAGATATTTTTCAAGTGTTGCAAAAGCATGTTCTGCCTAAGAAGAGGTTGACGCTTCAACAATCATGAGCTTGGTTAATACATCCATGATGAACACACTCACGTCTACACCCAGCCATCTTTACACACGCAGTAGTCACCACCACCCTGACTGGACTCACTTTTCTAAATGTCTTTGGTAGAAAGCAGCCAGACTCCAGGTAGGTAGATGAAACCATCTCTTGTAAGATAGTCGCTGTTTCTGCCCTAATTAAAAATACTCACCTTCCTTCTCTCTCTTTAGCACCTCAAAGTTTGTGGTGTTGGTTTTTTTTTTTTTAAACGCTATTCCTCTAAAAGAGTTCAAGGCACTGGGGATTACAGCAGATACTGTTTCTGTCTTCTCAAACGTCTGTCACTTCAACAAGCAAAGAACAAACCAATTGGAGATTTTTTTCCCACTCAAATGTTTATCAAGTATATTGTTTTGCTTATTTTAAGTTTACAGGTAAATTTCAGATTTCTTTTACTGTTAGACCTTCCGAAGGGCACAAATAAGAACCAAGCACTGGTTTGGTTTGCAGACTGGTAAGGTGCAGAACTCTCCTCCTATGGAAGTGGGAGATTGAAGTCAACTTTGTGAGCCGTCACATATTCCCACAGGGTGAGGGATATCCTGCTTTGTACCAGTGCTGTAAAGTGTACAAACAAAAAACTCAGTGCCAAAAGGTATTTGCAATCTGAAGTCATTTTTAGATAGAGATACCTTCAGTCAGTCCCACGGGTCTAAGATTTTTGTATTTAGCTTTGAAGGTAGAGGGGAAGTTTGGTAATAGTAAACTCACCTTGTGTTTGTAACATTAGCTTTTAGCCAGGGGTGGTTCTGTTGGTGGCCGGATACGTTTTCAGACTAATTTATAACCTCCTTTCCTCGGCACAAGCTCATGGGATTCGTACTCTTCAGAGCATGGATTGAGAATGCTCAGCAACTACTAACCTTTACTTCAGAGCTGTCATGCCATTGGAATTATTATTCATGATCCCCTCATTTTGTCTGTCTTGATAAACTCAATATTGTTTTCATCACGAGTTCCCAGCCCTTCGCAGAAATCACCATTAGTAGGCAAGAGCACCTTATTTTAGAGGATTGTAAAACACCATCGTGTATCTATTACTTTGAAATTGAAAATCATTTCCTGTAACTTAAGTCAATCTTTCCCATTTTAAAAAGTCCCAGGAATTCAAAAAATCCAACTTAAAGCTAGGAGGGTAGGTGTAAAAACCTAAAGAATAGTAGTAAAAGCCAAGCTGACAAAATTTCAGCATCGACTGGGCTAACATTGCTACCAATGAACCTAATGTGAGTTGTCTCCCTACAAGGATAAGTGCTGCTGCCTTTCAGAGTTGGTGCCAACACTTGAAGTATAGGGTGATCCAATTTTGAAATTATGGGAAAAGTTAAGGGTGTCACTAGCTCCCTTAGGCACCTGTTTGCACTGCCTCAATAGCAGGATGATTTCATCTATGCTGTTCATCTTTCAGTACAGAAAAACTGCCCACAGTTTCTTCTTTGACTTGAAGAAGCCATGCCGGGTTAGAGCTGCTGCGCAGCAGGCAGTGAAAGAAGGCACAGTACTAGTGTCGTCTGGCAGGTAGGTATTTCCCATGAACACACCAGAGAAAAAGAACAGTTACAAAAATAAAGCTTGTCCCACCCCATCCCCCAAACGACATCCCTAATAAAAATCCAAATTAAAAAAAAAAGAAATTCCACTTAGAGAAATCATTTTGGTTTTGATTTTTTGCACATAAAAAGCTGTCAAGAGAAAGTCTGCCGTTAGGTCACTGGATTGGGCTTAAAATGACAAGAGTTGCTTCTCTGGCCTTACTCTCCTTGGTGTTCCTGGCTCTAAGTCGGCCTGCTCCTTCAGGAAAACCACAGATGACCAACATCGGCTCGGGAGGGCCGTCATCAGGGCTGACAAGCAAGAATTTCCAGGAAATCCCATGCTGGAAAAACCCAAGGCTGTATCGTAGGGTTCAAATCATGGGCGAAGGAAGATTGAGGGTACATTAGAGTTTTTCCCTTAAAGAAAGACCTCTGCAACAAAAACTCCAGTGTCCGCATCACCAGAGTCATATTCTTAGCAACCACCTCCCACATTTAAGGGTGATCACGACACTCTAAGGCTGCAGGCAGAGATGACGGGAAGTAAGTTCACTTGTGAACTTCAGTGGAGTTTGGCAATCTGTACTCAAAGGTTACCCAAGCTGGACATGCTCAAATGAACAATGCAATAAAAGTCACTTCATAAGCTTATCAAACACAGACATTCGTGAGCAACTGAAAAGTATCTTTTAAAGAAGGGCTTTAAAAAATGCACAATGGTACATACTCTTATTGCTCCATAGCCACGTGACTCCACCCTCGTCCCGGAGAGGGGCCGCTTCCGCGCTCTGCTTCAACAGCGCCTTGCAGAGTGGGTTATAGATTTATCTAGTGTACACAGTACAATTCTCGCTTACCCTTGAATTATTTACTCTGCCCCACTGTACTGGCATCCCTTTTTCCTTATGGGACACTGTCAAAGATATTTACCGTTTGCAGTGGCAATCCTTACACCGGGCACAGATTTTAATAGTAAGATGTGCTCATTTATCATTGCTGGGATGATTTTTATTCCCTTGAGAGCAGTGCTGAGATCACAGTTCATTCTTGATGGCCAATCTACCTTCATAAATTGGCACGGCTACATATTCCTCTTGCACACCCAGAGACATTCACATGGGGAAAAAAAGCATATAGTGGTGCACAACACCTAGAAATACAGTGTCCTTACAGCAGTGATTGCACGTGGCACAACACGTCATGTCACTTAGGGAATTTAGACCGCACCACTCATTAGAACACCCAGCAATAAGGCTAATAGGCCAGGATCCTAGTCTGCTCTAGTCACGATGGATAAAATTCAAAAAACTCCCTTTATATATAATACAGTCCCATACTTCAAAATAAAGGCCAGCTCCAACGTTTCCAGTCGCCCATCCTTCAAGAGCAATACACACAAAAAGATGCTTTTCAGAAGGTGATTTTTTTTTCGTACTGATGGCACCATACTGGACAAGGATGTGTATATTTGATACAGCAATTGTCTACAGATACCTAATACAACATCTACCTCAAGCACACACTAAGAAGTTACTGGTGACCCAAAGGCATACTGGGGCAGAGCATTCCAGGGGTAAGGTGGTGGATATTCTGGCACAATAAAGCAACGCAAGGATCACGAAGGCAAGCTTGATGAAGTTTTCACAAAGCTCATGAAAAGGATTCTGACAGTGTAAAAGAGCGACCCAGGCTTGCAGTACTAAGCTATCCGGAGACTGGGGGCAAAGAGCTTACCTGGGACAGGACGCGTCCTAGATTCGGGTGGGAGCACGGCAACAACACTGCAACTAGAATGGCTGCGTGACACCACGGATTTACTCTCAATGCACAACTACGTACAGATAGTGTCTGTGAAAATCCCCCGACTGCACTAGTTACCCTTTCTATGAAGCTGAGAAATGGACTTAAAGTGCCCCTTTATGTGTAGTAGTGAAGTGTCAGGCAGTTCAAACTCGGCCAACGGGAAAAAACGAAACACAAGCCCCATCAATGCACCAAATATTCTGGTTGTCATCTCAAACTGAGAGCACATCACACACCTAGTCCTTACTATAGAATACACAACATGCACAGACAGGCCGCACACGGACAGACCTAAAAATACCGCTCCAGACCCCATGATCCATCAGAAGAGGCCAGACACACACCCCCTTTCACGCCGCTTCCACCCCAAATACCCAAAACTCACTTTCAGATTAGGAGAGAAAAGGAATAAATAGACTCACTCTCAGCTATATTATATATATATACATATACACACGTATGTATACATATATATACACCCCACGCACAGCTGGACACGACCCGAAGAACAGCCTACCGGGAGGCTCTGCGCGCCCGCGGCGGGCTGGCTGCAGCGCCGGGTGCAGACACACGGAAAAGCAGCCCCGCGGCCGCTACCAGTCCCGGGAGAGCTTGGTGTTCTGGTCTCTCTTTGGGGGGCGGGCGGGGGTCCTCTCCGCAATGTTGCATAGCCTGACAGGTGGCCGCCTCCGTAGCCCGCTCGCTGCTGGTCAGAGAGCAGCTCGGGGGGCGGCGGGGGCAGGGCCATGTCGTCCATGGTGGCCGTGGGCTCCGCCCGGGACGCGCGCGCGGAGGAGAGCGAGCCGTGCCGCGTGATGGACTTCCGCTGCAGGGTCCTGTTGAGGTCGGCCAGGAACCCGGGCTGGACGCTCAGGCCGGCCTTGGGCGAGGTGGGCGCCGGCGGGGCGGGCGGCTCCGGGGCCTCGGCCTGCGTGAGGCGGGTGCTGTCGCTGCGCTTGGGGCGCGTGGGCGGCGGCGCCTTCTTCGCCGACGCCTTGGCCCAGGGCTGCGGCTGAGGGGTCACCACCGCCACCTTGGGAGAGGTGCTCCCCGAGAACACGGCCGGGACCTCCACGGGCGGCGGGGGCAGCTCGATCTCAGGCGGCGGCGGCGGGAAGTCCGAGTCGGACGGCGGCGACGGGAACTCGGCCGGGGCGTCCCTGCCGCGCCCGCCCGGCGCGCCGGCTCTCGCGGACGCGCCCCCTGGCTGGAGGGCGCCGGGGAGGTGCACGCCCGGCAGGTGGAGCTTTCCGGGCTTGGGGGGCGCGGTGGGCGGCGGGGGGGTCTCCTTGCCGGGGGAGCCGGAGGGGTCCCCCGGGGACGCGAACTTGCTGACGAGGCTGTCCACGGAGGGCCTCTGGGGCTCGGGGTGCTCCGCGCCGCCGGCCCGGATGCTGGAGTTGCGCTGCGGCGTCGGGGGCGGCCTCTTCCCGCCGGGGCTGGCCGTCTTGGGCGCCTTCCTGCCCGGGGACGCGCTCCTGTCCCCCGCGGGCGCGGCGGCGGGCGGCGGGGCCGGGGCGGGCGGCGCCGGCGGCGGCGCGGGGAAGACCAGGCTGCTCGCGGGCGGCGGCGGCGGGAAGTCCGGGGAGGGCGCGGGCGCGGGCTGCCACCTGGGCTTCGCCTTCACCGCGGGCGGCGACTGCGGGGCCGCGGGCGCCGGGACGGGCTTCGCGGGCTGCGGCTCCGGGGGCGGCGCGGGCGGCGGCGGGAACGGGCCCGCGGGCTGCTTGGGCGGCGCGGGCGGGGACGGGGGCGGCCTGGCGCCGAGGCTCTGCTGCTTGGGCAGCGTGGGGGGCGGCCCGGGCCCCGGGGGCGCGGGCGAGGACGGCGGGACGTGAGCCACGGGGAAGCCTGGCGGCTTCTTCGCGGGCGGCGCCGGCGGCGCTGGCGTCGCGACGGGCGCGGTCTTGGCGCTGGCCGGCGGGGGGAGGGTCACCAGGGGCTTGGGGGGCGCCTGGGGCGGGAGGGGCGCGGGGGCGGGCGCGGGGGGCGTGGGAGGCGCCACCGGGGCCCCGAGGTGCACCTTGGCGGGCGGCGGCGGGGGGCTGAAGGGCGGGAGCGCCGGGGCGCAGGGCGCCGGCCTCAGCTGGGCCATGGCGGAGCCGGGGGTCGGAGGAGGGGGGGGCGGCGGCGGTGGGGGGACCACCCCGCTGGGGGGCACCAGGATCTGGGGCTTGGCGGGCGGTGCGCTCAGGAGCTGTGGCTGCATCGCCGAGGCCGGCGGCGGCTTGAACAGGGACCCCGAGTGCTGCGCCGCGTTCTGCAGCCGCGCGATCGTGCTGTACTTGACGAACATCGGGGCGGCCGAGCCCGCCGAAGGCGCCGACTGGCTGGGCAGGGGCGGGGGGGGCGGGGGGGGCGGAGGGGGGGGCGGGGGCGGGGGTGGGGGCGGGGGCGGCAGAGGCGGGGACGGCTGCGAGGCGGCGTAGGGCGCCACGGTCTTGGGTTGCGGGGATAAAGGGGGCACAAGGGAAGTGTAGGGTCGATTCACAGACTCCGTTCTGGCCTGCAAGGAGCATGACATGGAGGAGAGAGAAACAACAAACACGATTACAGAAGCAAGCTCTGTGCGAAACTGAAAAGCAAGACGTCTGAACGTACATGCCAACAGGACGCAGCAGCTGGCGAGCGGAGAGACACTGTCGGGCAGGCTGGGGGCGGCCGCCTGAACAGGGACACACGACGTCTTTACCCACCAATATTCTTAACCAGCCAGACTGCCTGACTATGCGGGAACACGCTCCTGGTGCAAAAGCCACTTGAGGGGCGGTGGCCTGTCGGGTTTCTGACCTCTGGCTTTCATGGACCCCACCCCGGACTCTGGCAAGGGAGATGTGCTGACCGGAGTTCACCTTTCAGTCCACGACAGCACCCGCCTCAGCAGGTGCGGCCCTGGGCTCTTAGCAGGGCGGTGGAGGGCCTCCCGCGGCAGGAGGATGTCTTTGTGATGCTAGTGAGCGGACGCCTGAGAATGAGAGTGTTGAGCGGGCGTGCGTGCAGTTACACAGCAATGAATGGGCTTGAGACACACACGCGTGTTCATGTGAGACACTTGCATCCAACATGCACAGAAGTCCAGCAATGCAGGTAAAGGGGGGGGCATTCTTTACATTTGTTTTACTGGAAAATACATAAAGAAATGCTTCATGAACATTACAGTAAAAGCATAAAAAATATCAGAAAAAGCGAGAAGATGATGAAAGAAAACCTGGGGAGTCCAGAGTAAAGAAACGTGTCAAGAAATGGAAGGCAGAGCTTCGAGCAACCTGCCGCTGCGCCCGACCAGACACCTGGCGCTGCACTTACTGCCGCGTGGGGTCATGCATCTCCTGGAGCTACTCATGCGTGAATGTTAAGTTCTTTGGAAAAGAGCAAAGAAAGGACCCTTGGTTTAACAGTGTTGGGCACATTTTCTAGGCTCTTTGACTAAAATGTGGATCTGCGATAAACACTTGCTCCCCATTTATGAGTGACATGTCATTAGCAGTGAAAATGCTTAGGTTAGTAGACGACAGGGCTCACCACAGGGCTGGATTCTCATGCCCACCAAGACACTCACATTTCTTTAAAAATGGCACATCAAAGTAAAAGCATTAGTTTGCAAGATCTGGCTAAGAGTCATCCAGGTTAATGTGTTTCCAAAGAACAGCCCCCGACCTTAACTTGACCCTGTCTTGGCTGCTGCAGGGGTGCAGACCTTAGCTGTGCTGGCCTTCTCCTGTGGCACCTGAGACTGAGATAACAGGAGAACAAACACACAGGGGGGTCAAGACTCACACAAGGCCCTGATGCTTGGCAGGTCCACATTCTCTGAAACCACAGTGAGGGACCACACTGCTTAATCGGAGCATTTGGCCTTTGCTTCCCTTAGCCTTTCTCAACATTTGGGTGGTTTATAATTTAAAATGCACATGGATAAAAACATTAATAATTTAATAAGGTATCAGATTGTGTAAACCTGCTTCTCTACAACATACACTGAAGCTACTAGCACCAGAGAGGGCTGTTCCAGTCACACTGACTGGGGAGGGGGAAGGAAAAGTGAATCCCCTCCTAAAAGTCTGAGCCCCTGATAAGGGTATTAAACTGTCAGTGTTCTGAAAATGTAGGTTATTAAGACTAATTCTCAAATATTTCCTTCTAAGAGAAAGTGTTTTACCCCCCCAGTAGGCTATTAGTACCTGCTCTACTCAGCAACATGGGTGAATAAAGGAATAAATAGGGGGAAACAGTCATTAGTTCTTATGGGTGAATATTCTAATATAAATGACTCAGGCCAAAAGAATACGGGATCAAAGCAAAATGGTGAGGCCAGCCTCAATAATGACAGCAAGACCTTCCCACGGAGAGGGTGAAGACAGCTGGGACACGCCCCTGTCTGCAGAATTTCAGAGACAGTGTGATTCAGTGTCTTTCAAGTATGCTGAAGAATCTGTCTTTCTAAATAGTCATAACTATACTTGTTCTTAATTGTCACAGAACAGGCTCAGGTCCAGAATTTGAAGGGAATTAATTTGAACTTAATCTTCCACATAAATTATAATTTGAGAAAAGTTACCAAGGCACAGAGAAATGTCATAAAGCATAAAAGAAGAGATAAAGGAATGAATCTGAGTAAAATCAACAATGAATAAAATAACCAACCATAAGCAGCTTCTCTGGAATAAATTTAGGGCATAGGCACTAAATGGTGGGGGTGCTCTATCCAAATTAATTAAGAGTGGAAAAGGAGGACACTGTTTTCTCTTAAAATTCAGAATCACTGATAAAAGGAGTTCAACAGCCAGGGTCATTAGAACCAATTCACAAACTCATTTCTGAGGGGAAGTGAACCAAAAAAATTGAAAATAGGGCCAAGAAAGATTCCTAATAAAGGAGTAAAAGAGCAACCAAGTAAATCTATGAAATGCCACAGTTTTCCTATGTAAATTAATGCAAGTGCGCTACCTTGCTGGACTCCTCCAACTGAGTGCCTCGTTTCCAGGCTTCGGAGAAGATGGAGCTGACGATGCTCTGAGAACGGACGTGTCCTGCTGGCTGGGTGTCAGAAACTCCACTATCAGACTGATTGGAATGATTGGACTGAGACTCTGTTTAAAGTAGAGTTTCAAAAAATAGGAGTAAATAAATATTCTGGCAGCATAAATAATTTAGACAGCCTTCACACAGACCAGATGCTGTGCAGAACAGCAACAAGTAAATTCTACTCAACTCATTTCACATAAATTCAGCCAATATTTTCTACTAGAAAATTTTTTATTTTAAGGCTAAAAGGAAATCTTGATTCTTTTTAAACAGTTCACTACGCGAGACTGATAATTAAAAGGGTCATTTAATGTTACTGGTATCCTAACAAACTGCGTTGTAAGAAATCAACTCCTAGTAAATAAAAATTAATGAAGTTTCAACGGAAGCATGCCCCCCACACCAAGTCTGTCTTCATTACATAGACAATCTTTTCAATATGTCCCTGGCGTCAAGCTACGACAGAGTTCTCACTTAAGAATTCAGATCTCTATATAATGGTTACTCCCTTTTTCCCAGCAATAACCAGTATTTAGAATCTGATCCCAAAATGAGACGTGTGTTTTCCTAGGGATTCAGGTGTTGACATCACAGGGCAGCAAATATGCTTTTGTCTGGCTCCTGGAAAGGAATGAAATAATCTTCAAGGGACCTGGGAGTGGCAGAGGATACAGTGTACCTCTGACTGACATCCAAGGTGAGAGAACCAGGAAGATCACTAAACTCCAAGTCAGGTAAAATAAAAGTGGGAAGCACCTAACCCAATGCCTGGCATCACAGGGGAAGAAGCAAGTGTCAAAGCTAGCCACGTCCGGTCACTCTGTGATGGTTGGATGTTGTCAGGCTGCAGCATTTAGCAAGTCCAGCCAAGTTATCCAAAGTAGTGCAAAGATAAGAGACACGAACCCCTGTGTAAATTTGCCACGATGCCTTTGAGGCAAAAATATGAGCAGTATAGGATAACGCCTATCTTGCTCACACTCATTTAGTAGTAGAGTGTTTATTTTTGTCCTTAAAATTACAACGTTACTGGCCTCATATATCATCCCTATTTAATACCTGGGACAACAGCCTATAAGCCAGGAGGCTGGAACACACAAATCTTTGAACTTTCTTCAGCATGACTAGATTATGATTTTATAATTTACATGAAAAAGTATGCCTAACCCTTCCCACAGTGACAATGCAAACTTACAGAAAATGCCAGAGTGGGGAAAGGCTTATGAAATAATGTGTGGTAGCACTTGGATTAAGGGCTCTATAATTTTTTTTTTTTTCAATTTTGTCCTTAATTTCTTTTTCTGAAATCCTACTTGCAATATAGTCTTACTCTGCCTTTCCTAATCCATTCTCTTGAAGTTTTTTTTTTTTCCATTTTAACAAACAGGTTTTGTGAGTGTGTGTTTAGATTAAGAGCAAAGTTGTAATGTTAGAACAGACTTCCTATACACTGAACACTCAGTTTCCTTCATTATTAAAGTTACATTACTATGGTGCATTTCTCACAACTAAGGAGAAGATGCTGATACATTACTATTAGCTTTATTCAGATTTCACTAATTTTTCCACAATGTCCTTGCTCTGATCAAGGACCACACATTACAATTAGTTATGTCTCTTGTGACAGTTTCTTAGACTTCCTTGTGAGAAGTCACGAGAAGTCACAAGGCATTTTTTGGGCTGTTATTTTGTACAACAATTTGCAATTTTGATTTGTCTGATGTTTTCCTCTTAATTAGACTGAGCATACAGGGTTTGGAGAAGACCAGGAGCGAGAAATGCTGACCTCTTTATATCAAGGGCTACTGATTCTGATCATGATCACTTGGCTGAGGTGTTGTCAGATTTCTTCATTGTGAAGTTATCTGCCCTCCACACCCCCTATTCTCTTAGAAAGGAAATCACTCTGCAGAGCATACACTTAAGGAGGGGGAGGAGACGGCTAGTTCTACCTCCTCGAGGGTAGTGTCCACATAAATCATAGAGAAATCTTCTGTACAGGAGGTTTGTCACTTCTCCATTCAATAATTCATTTGTATCAGTATGGACCAGTAGAATTATATTCCGCTTGCAATTCGGTTTACAATGCCATAGTGTACTGAGGTGTTGCTCAGATTGCTATGGCTCTGAACACTGGTCTCAGGTTGGTTCTTGTGTCCCTTTTTACATCCATCATTGTGTTTCTCTGAGCACTTCCTTCGTCCCTTGCACCACAAGATGCTCCAGGCTCAACTGACAAATTCTTGGCAGTAGCCCTAGAATCAGCCATTTCCCCAAGAGCCTTTTTTTTAGGGGGGGCGGGGGAAGATGAGGTGGGGAGGGGAAATGATACTGAAACCAAGATCTAGGTATTGAATATTCTCATTCTTTCAAAAAACTACATCCAGACACACACACGTACGTGTGTACAGTAACCCTGTATCTGCATAGTCTAAATTTGTTTTTACTTAGAGATTGAAAACAAGTGACATAGCTTTTTTATTAAGCACTTTTTAATTATCTTTTCATAATGTGATATAAGAAGAAAAAATCTGCTTTTAGATCACAGATATATCATTCATGGAACATTTTGAAGGGAAAGAAACATTTCCTTTAACATGTGATCAAGCAGACTTTGTTTAAGGGCTATGGGAGTCTGAAAATAAGCACCTTTTCCGTATCACTGGTTTCCTTTGAAACATTAAAAAGTTTGATGCCTTAAATAGCTTAACTGTGATACTGAACTGATTCTAGTTATTTTTCACTCTACTGAAATGTCAAGAAATCTATGGGGAAGTTTCAACATGGATTTTGAGTATGGAGACTCTTTTCAACTTTCTATCCTCAATTAATGCATCAATAGTTGAATTTTAAATAAATTTTATATACCAAAACTCCTCGCTTCACAACTGTATACACTGGTTTCCCATTTCAAATATACTAGTGAACGAGTCCCTGCTACTCCTAACACCAACTTTAAAAAAAGCACAAAATATACCTACTGACTATAATTTAGAAATTAGATGCAGCTATGGTTTTTAAAAGTTATGCTGAAATAACAAGGCTAGAGATACCTTCATATTGGTACAAATAGTGTTCTGGGTATTTTAAACTACCTGGGATGCTGGAAGAACTGGATCCTGATTTAATGCTGGAGCTGGATAAGGAAGTCCAATCATAAGCTGACTCTGTCCTCTTCAAGGCTTCTTGATAGTTCATGTAGAGCTGTTTCCCGTACTAAATAGAAGGCAGTGACATCTGAACTTTACTGGGTATGTATAGGATGGATGAGGTAAGAAAGGGGGACACATTTCTGTTTACTGACTCATAGTTCATATTAAAAATGGTAATATTTCAAAAATTCTCAATACCAGTGAATTATAATGTATTCTTATTTTTCTCCATTTTTAGAAAGGTAGCCGGAAGTTACACTTGATTTGTTCCTACCAACACAAAGATTTTTTTCCAGTTATTTCTAAAGCAAATTGGATTTTATAGCCATAAAATTTTACTTTCAGTTACTAAGTAGGCATAAATATTCCTTCAAGTGTTATGTACACTCATCTTTTAAAAAAAAAGTAAGATTCTTTATTTTTAGAGTAGTTTTGGGTTCACAGCAAAATTGAGAAAATGGTACGGCGAGTCCCATACACCCTCATTCCTGAAACAGGCACAGCCACTCCCATTCTCAGAATCCCCCGCCAGAGTGGTGCATGTTACATTAACTCATCAGCACTACTCAAAGTCAACAGTCTACCTGAGCTTCACTCCTAGCGCTGCACGGTCTGTGGCTTTGGACAAAGGTATAATGACATGTATTGATCATTATGTTATCATACAGATTATATTTTCAGTGCTAAAAAGTCTCTGTATTCTACCTATTTATCACCCCCTAGCCCAAGGCAATTTAACTTACAAAAATTTTCTTTTGTTTAGGCTAACCTCTGCTAGATAAAGTCACATATATATTTTACATGTCTCCAAAGCAAAATAAATCACTTTGATAACACAGTATTCATACCATGGTATTATTTTTACCACGGCATTATTTAAATGTACAAGTTACCCTCACCACCATGGGAAAAAGACTTTTAAAATTTGAAATGTTAGGCCTGAAAAACTGGATGTTGGCAAAATCATGAACATGAGACAATCAGAGTAACTGTCACAATTAAAGCCTTGTCGTTAACATCAAACCAAAAGAAAACCTACCTTTGCAATGCGGATACCATTAACCCACTGGTGCAGGGTTCTTACATCATCACAACAAAGGTACTTGATATACTGAGATTTCTTCTGGATCTGTGGGTGCTGCAAGATTAAAGGCAAGAACCAACTCAGTCCCCTGGACAACTAAAGAAAAACTTATCAAAGCTTAACCATGTCCTGACAAGTTAGTTATGGGCCATCAGAGATCAGAATACTAGTCAAATAATTTATATCTGTTCTGTGGCCGTAAGACTAAAAAAAATGGTCCCTGAGTATTTTTACTAAATAAACAAGAAAGAAGCTTGTGTTAAATTTTAGGTCATGATGTCCAAATTAAGCAAACAAAAACAATTCTTCACACCATGGGAAATCCACAAATACCATTCCACATTTCAAAAAAACCAAGTCCATCAAAGTTAACAAAGTCAGTAGAATTCTTAACCTATAAGCGTATGGAGAGGTAAAGAAAGTCTGATTTTAGTTTGAATACATTAAAACAAGGGTTTAGAAAACTTGAAGTGAGAGCCTTTGGTGATGCTGCTGGGTGAGCAAAGGGCACAGCCCCTGGGCCAGGAGATGGACACTGGTGGGCCTGAGCCCCTCTCAGCCTGTGTCCTATAGGGAACTTGACAGCTTTCCTGCCAAATAAGATTGTTTTTACAACCCAATGTACTTCAAAACCAAGGCTTGGATGGGAATTGACTTGAATTGGCGACGAAGCGGAGGTTGCTAGAACAGAAGTGAGCCACTGGGCCATAATCACTTGTTCCCTAGGAAGAAAATCTCTAAATCATACTTTGCTCTGGATATACTGATTGTTGATTACTACTTCTCTTTCCAGTTATTCTGGGGGGGGGGGAACACAACTATGTTTTACTTGGGGAAATATTTAATGTTCAATTAAAAGAACAAAATTTTAAATATCACCTCTCCCCCCACCTGACAATTCTCAGAGAAAAGCAAAATAAAATGATCATATAAACATGTAAACCTAAGTAGTTAGCAAGGGGCTTTACAAAGAGGGAGTCAATGATGACAAAAAAATTATATCCATTTATCGTGAATTTTTAAATGTCTTCAAGTAGATCGATAAAATATTGCAAAAAATGTCTGCTCTCACAATACAGGTACAATCAGAGTGAACAGCTCAAAAGTTTGAATAAAGGAATTAAAAAACCTTACTAAAAACAGCTCAGACAACTCAATACAATCATGGGTTATCAGGACTATGGTCTGGGGAAAAAAGGACAACAATCATTTCTGGAGCAGATGAAAACTTGCCCTTTGAAGGTGGACAGAGTGCCCACCTTTACTCTGATCCAAGTTTTCCTTTAAAAATAATATTCTCGGGCCTCCCCAGTGGCGCAGCGGTTGAGTGCTGGGTTGCGAAGCTGCCCGCAGCCTCTGCGGCGCCGGTTCGATCCCCGGCTGCTCCCCGGCCACCGGAGGAGGGTCCCACATGGCGCGCAGACCTCTCCTGCCGCCTGCTGCTCCCCTTCGGTCCTTCTGCCTGCTCTGCTCCCCGCTCTGGTTCTGGTGAATTCTCTCACCCTCCCGCGCTTCTGACTGTACCCAGTGCTTGTATGTATAAACAAACAAACAAATAAATAAATAAATCTTAAAAAAATAATAATAATATTCTCAAACTTATTTTCTACTAATCTTGAGTCCCCCCCTTTTATTGAGTTGCCAAATCATTTACATGACTGTAAATTTTGGGAGTGCACCTTCACATGTGCACGCTTCACTCTGCTCCACCAAAGCTCCAGGGCCAATGTCTGTCATCACCTCTCCCTGGATCTCCTCTAGCCCCCACTTCCTCTCTGGGAAGCAGTCTGTTTTTCAGAACCTAGAACTATTTTCACTGTGCTTCCCCTGTTTGTTTGGCTATTTACATTCCATAAATGAGTGAAATCATCCGGTATCCTTCACTTTCTGGTTTATTTCACTTAATATAAGAACCTCAAGATCCATCATTTTGTCTTAAAAGGCACTATTTCATCTTTTTATTTATTTAATAATGTACTGACATTTTCGTTTTTAATTTTATTTTATATACTTTTTACATTTTTCATTTTTGCACAATGTATGCATTTTCATCTTGGTTATAGTCCCCGTACAATTCCCACCCCCCTTATTTTGACCCTATTCCTTCCTCCCCTAGCCCCGCCCCCATAGTGTGTGTGTCTGGTTTATAGTTGCTTGTTGATTTTGATTTTTACTTTATTACAATTTGTCTTTTTCCTGGTCCCTTATTTAGGTTTTCTAGATTCCGGCTATGAGTGAGACCATCTGGTATTTTTCTTTTTCTTTCTGGCTAATTTCGCTGAGCATGATCCCTTCCAGTGCCATCCACGTTGCTGCAAATGGCATGCATTTATCTTTGTGCATATGTACCACATTGTGTATATGTACCACATCTTCTTGATCCAGTCATCTATTTTTAGGCATTTGGGTTGTTTCCATAGCTTAGCTATTGTAAATAGTGCTGCTATAAACATAGGGGTGCAGGTGCCCTTTTGAATTAATGATTCTGTGTCCTTTGGGTAAATACCTAGGAGTGGAATTGCTGGATCATATGGAAGCTCCATCTTTAGCAGGTTGAGGAGATTCCTCTCCATAGTGATTGGACCAGTCTGCACTCCCACCAGCAGTGCAGGAGAGTTCCTTTATCTCCATATCCTTGCCAACATTTGTTGTAGCTACCTTTTTTAAGATGTGCCGTTCTCACTGGTGTAAGATGGTATCTCCTGGTAGTTTTGATTTGCATTTCCCTGATTACAAGTGATGCTGAACATTTTTTTCATATGCCTGTTGGCCATTTGCATTTCCTCTTTGGAGAAGTTCCTTTTTACAAACTCCATTATTTGTGTGATCAATCCTAATCACTGGTGTACTACTACTATTGTCACTTCTGTCCATTTTTTGACTGTTGTTTACTTTGTTTTTGTTGAGTCTCTTTGTTTTTGTTGAGCTCTTTGCAGATTTTTGTGATCAGGAGCAAAGAATATGCAATGGAACAAAGAAAGTTTGTTCAATAAATGGTGCTGGGAAAACTGGGTCACTACATGCAAAAGAAAGAAGCTTGACTAGCATCTCACACCATGCACAAAAACTAACTCAAAATGGATTAAAGAACTAGACATAAGACCTGAAACCATAAAACATGTAGAAAGAAATATAGGCTAAACACTACATGACATACACCTCACGAACATCTTTAAAGACTCATCACCCAAAGCAGTGATAGTGAAGGCAAAGATAAACAGCTGGGACTACATCAAATTAAAGAGCTTCTCTACAGCAAAAGAGACAGTAACCAAAACAAAGAGACATCCCACCGATTGGGAGAAAATTTTTGCACACAACACTAATGATAAAGGACTGATGACAAAAATATTTCATCCTTTTAAAGAACTGAATATTGAGTATGTACTCCACAATTTCTTTATCCAGCTGTCTGTCAATGGCTATTTAGGCTTGGCTGTTGTGAATGCTGCTGCTATAAACACAGGTGTGCATAAATCTTTGTGTCTCATATTTATTGGGTGAATACCTAACAGTGTTATTGCTGGATCATAAGGATTTCCATTTGTTGTTGTTTTTTAATTTGTGGGATCTCCATATTGTTTTTCATAGAGGCTGCACCAAATTGCACTCCGACCAGCAGTGGATGAGTGATGCTTTTTTCTCCACATCCTTGCCAACATTTATTTCCTGTCTTTTTTTTTTTTTTTTTTTTTTTTAAAAAATAGTGGTCATTCTCACAGGTGTGGGGTGATAGCTCAAAGTGATGTCGAGCAGTTTTCATGTGCCTATGTTACATCTCCTGTGGACAAGTGTCTAGGCCTTCTGCCCGTGTGCAAATGTCTTCTCCCACGACACAGGCTGCCTTTTTGTTTTTGCGGTGGTTTCTTCTGCAGTACAAAAGTGATGTAGTCCCATTTATTTTTGCTTGCTTCCCTTGCCACTGGAGTTGCATCCCCACATACATTTCTGCGGTTGATGTCTGGGAGTGTATCACCGATGTTTTCTTTTATGTACTTTAAGGTTTCAGACCTTGTATCCGTCTTTAATCTATTTTGAATTAAGTTGTCATTAACAGAGTTAATGACCTAGATTCATTTTTTGCACACTGCTGTTCAAGTTTGTATGCTATATGCTTTTGTTCCCTAGCAACTTTTCACATTTTTTTATCTTTGACCTGTGATAATTAAATGATGTATCTTAGTCTAGGTCATTATGCATTTAGAAATTTGAGTATTTATCTGTTTCTTGGACACTATCATTAGATCTTTTCTTAGAACTGGAAAGTTCTCAGCCATTATTTCTTTGAATAAGGCCTCTGCTGCCTTCTCTCTTTCCTCACTTTGAGGGATGCCCACTATCCTTAAGTTTCTTCTTCTCATAGAGTCTGATGATCACATAGTTTCTTCATTTCTTCTAAATCTTTTTCCAAATCTTTTTCCTCTTCCACTTGAGTTATTTGAACACTTTTATCTTCTATTACTGAAATTCTTTCATCAGCAAGATTAAGTACATTTACTAAGCTTTCCATGGCTGTTTTCAGTTCTTTCATCATATTCTTCAATCCACCATTTCTATTTGGGGTGTTGTTTTTTTTTTAATCGCTTCAATTTCTTTGGTGTTCCTTTTGTTCCCGGATATCTTTTCTGATATTCTGAACTTGCCTTTTTATGTTTGAGCATCTCAAACTTTGTTGAATATCTTCATGATTGCCATTCTGAACTGTTTGCTCCTCCAGTCTGGTGTCACAAAGCTTGGGTTCAGAGCCCTAATAATTTTCTGTATTGCACTGAGCTGTGCCTTCTTTCACATACCCTTTATCCCCCCTTCAACAGTTGGCATAGTAGCCTTAGTTTTGGTATTCTTGTTTATCACAATGGTGGGGAGCAGTGGGAGGGAGTGGGAGCCCAGATGAGGAAGTGCTCACAGTCCTGGGTGGGTAGGGTACATTAGGGCTGGGCAGCTTGCACCACAGCTTCTCTCTCTGCAGTCAGACCAAGCTTTTCTCTGTGCCCAGAGCCTGCTTCCCTGGTCCTGTCTCAGTGTTGCAGGACTGTGTGGTTTGGAGATTTTTCTGTGGCCTCAGGAGAAAAGGGTGGGGGAACAGCTCTCTGCTGCTGCTTACACAATACCCAGACCAACTCTCTGGGACCCATCCATCTGTCCCAGGGCTCAAACAGCAATGTATTACTTCATATTCACTGCAGAGGTTCCCTGTACCAATCGTATACCAGAACCTTAACCTCCCCAATGGGGTTTGTCCACCAGGAATGGCTGTCACTGTCTGAAGCTCCCCTCACAATCTAACATCAATGAAATTTCTTAAAAGAGGCACATCTTTACCTTTAGCACCAGGCAATAGTCTGTAGGTGCTTTGTATTTGTTCCGATAGTCCTGTCCATAATAAACATTGACATGATCCAGCTGGAGAAAGCACACTAGATCCCGAGAGACCTAAGAAAAAAACACCCAGATGACTGAATTAACAATAATCCATAAACAAGCAAAAACCATTAACTGAAAATCAAAACTTTAGCAAGTAGAAACTACTGCTACTTTGCTGAAAACAACAGTTATATTCTCTATAAAATATTTCCTTCTTTAATCTATGATACAACAAAAACAGCCCATTTTACTTACTGTCTTGTCATTCACAATGAACACTAACTTGCTTGGAAAGCATAACTTTTAAAAAGACAATAAATATAGTATATAGCATGTTAAATACAATACAGTATAACAGAGCTCACTAGAAAGAATGAAAAAAATAGTTTAGTACCTGTAACATGTCTCAAGCGCAGTGTTTCTCAAGTCAGAGTTTCCTTATCAATTAAACTCTCAGGATAGTGGTAAAGAGCTTTAAAACAGTGCTGACACCCAGTAAGCACAGAAATGATAGCTATCAAGGGGGACCCTCAACACAAGTATGTGATGGGCCTCCCTGGTGGCCTAGGGGTTAAATCTCAGTGCTATGACCCTGACAGCCTGAGTTCAATCCAGCAGACCTCTCCTGTCTCGCCCGCTACTCCCCTCAGCAGTGCAGTTCACCTGTTCTGCTCTTCACTCTGGTGAATCCTCTCATCCCTCTCCCCCTGGACCTCTGGCCTGCACCCCAGTTCTTCTACACAAAAATAAATAAAATTTAAAAACAAAAAATTAAGACATATGTTACCCAAGCAAGGCTGAAGTGCCTGTAATCCCAGAAAGCTCTCCAAACACAAGCAAAATTTACTCCAGCAGATGTTTCAAAAATTATACAAGCATGATTTTAAATTTGGCAAGAGAACTGAGATGATCCCACTGAAGACCAGCGAGTGAACCTTAGTAGGTTTTCTCTTCATTGTAATAGATCAATAAGAAAAGAATGTCTCACTCAAGTGCAAACAAATCAGAGCCTAATTTCACCTTATCAGCACACTCACTACAGATTAAAATCAATTAGCATAAAGAGAAAGCGCAGAAGTCAACCAAAGAGACACACCTTTGCTTTTCCTTTAGGGACATAATAGATACCAGATGCTCGCAAGAGAAAATAGCGCTTTTTCCAGGACTTCTTGCCATCATCTTTCAGCCAAAGGACTCCTTCAATTTCTGGTACAGTGACGGAACTTCCACAAAAACATTCCTAAAAGAAGAATATGATTAGGAAAGATATCCTTGGGTTCTCAGAACACAGTTGTGTTTACCCTTGTGAAATGTATGACACTGTAATTAAACCAAAACAGCTTTGTATTATAATGATGCTGCTAACTTTACTTCGATTAGAAATTTTAAAACTATTATGACAATTTAAAAATATTTATTAAGCAAAAATGCCAGACATACTTTTACTTAACACTGTTTTGAATTAAGTTGAAATGTCAACTGAGCTTGTAGGGCAAGTAAAGGATCAGGCTTTTCTGCCCTCCCGCCATTAGGATTGATGATGGAATCCTGCGGTCCTGAATGCATGCCTGATGGCGGGCACCTGGAGTAGGGTGTGGACATGCATAGGTAGGTACACCTGGGATGAGAGACGGGGCTTATAGGGGCGGCGTCATGGGGGTGCCAGCGGAACAGCAGGGCAGAAGGAGCACAGAGAGGCCATGAGAGACAGCTGGAGAGCCCAGAAAGAGTGAAAACTTGCTGGGGACTGGGAGGCCTGCCAGCCTCCCGGTCCCCTGGCCCCCCTGCCTGCCAAGTACCTGGTAAATCCCAATAAAAGCCTGCAAAAGCTACTGAGGGCTGCAGGACTTCTCCTTCACCCGTCTGCACGGGATCATAGAAAATTTGCTGTGCTCTTCCCGCTGCTACAGAGCTACATTTGTAAAGAGCGTAATTGTACTAAATTTAGTGCCAGAGCTAACTTACATTAGACTTTTTATCCAAATTAACACATTTAGATTAGCTTTCAAGCTACGTAGGATCATATATATTCCTTAAAAGCAACATGCTAAGTGAATGATTGAACCTGGGTTATAATTTAAAAGCAGGGCATTTATTTTTTAATATTTAACACTAAGTTGAAAGGAATGTAAACAAACTAAACTTTTCTTTTTTTAAATTATATTTCTTGAGGTAATGATGATTTACAACACTGCATAACTCTGTGTGTTTTAGGTGTAAAGATTCACACTTAGAGGATTTTTTGAAATTGTAGCTACTATCACTAAAAAAGCCTGAGTGCTGATCTTCATTTTCCAAATTACCTTATTGCTACCTAAGAGTTCATTCAGGTTTCAAACATACAAACTTATTTGATCTTAGTTCTCTCACATTAGCAAAAACCAAAATTTCAATTGTTAAAGCTTTTGTTATTACACCTCAAAATAAGGAGATATATTTTCAAAATGATAATTATGATTTTAAAATACTGTTTGAGTCACTTACAACTAAGACTGGAAATACTTTATAAACAGCTAACTATATTTGGTCTTTCCTCTGGTGAGCAGATAAAGGAGCACCCTCACACCCATCACTGACCAGCCTTTTCTCCCACTGATCAGCCCCTAAAACCACATTAATACTTGCAGTCCTCTAGATATTGCTTGATAAATACTCTACTTTGGTTCCTCAGTTGCCGAACATTCAAACAGTTGAACTCTCACCATCAACTGATGGAAGAATATAGGTTTTTCTAAGTACAACTGTATATAAAGAGGTGCTAATATTTTATGTGTAGGGTAGAAAGGGGAGGAAGGAATCCATACCTCCAACAGCACTTCTTTGTTTCTATCTGCCATCTCAACAGTTTCCTTTTTCCCCAGGAGATAATTCTGAAAAAATGAATAATTGAAGGTCAGAGGATAATCCCATTTGATTATTCCCTGGGCACAGGGACATATATGATTTTAACTGAAAACACAGTCTGTATCAATTTCTGCCTAGGCAGAGTGAGGTATGTATGCCTTTGAAAGGCATGTGCATGGAATTTATCACTAAAATGCTTAATAATGGCCTCCTCCTTGCGTTATCCATTTGTCTTGAATTATTCCAGTCAGCTCTCCTCCAAATCATGAGGTGATAGTACATGCAACAGTTGGCAGATACCCTTTAGTACATTAATGAAAGCTATACTTACAGAACCTGAAGTTAGTAAGTTATTAGTATATGACTAGACAAGTTTTCTTACTGCTGAGTTTACCTGAACCAATGCAAAAATATTAATCTGTTTTGGTTTTTAAAGAAATTCAAAATTATCTGAGATTACCATAATCTCATTTGTTTGATTCAACTAAGACGTGAATTCTAATTATTACCCTACATATGCCCAAATATGTATCTTTCACTAACAACTTCCAAAAAAGATGTATCATGGTAAAGCTGTTTGAAGGACAGCTAGTCAGTATCTTTTTAACACTGCTATTTTTCTTTAAAATCAGGTTATCTTCCCTCACCTATGCTTTTTATAAAATATTGGAATATAAGGAAATGTTAACTCAAACATTATTTTGGGGTAAGCAAAAATGCCAAACAAATCAAGGTAAAATATGGAACACCACTGATCAAGGTTATTTGGATTTTTAAAAAGTAATTCAAAAAAGAAATCAAAATAAAGTGGCAACGGGAGAAACGGCTGAAGTATAGAAACTTAAATATGTAAGTACTTTTCTTTGATGGATGAGAAACTCACCAAATAAATAGGTGGGTTCAATACAGGCTGGATTACAGAGTGCAGAAACCTGGTAACCTCTTTGAGGCCACACCTGGGCCCCAGCAGACTTTCCCCCTCAGCAGCAGTGAGTGCTCCTGTGGGGCTTTGCAGTCACAATGCTAGTCTTTTAACTCCATTAACTTAGCGGTAATAGAATAATATTTTAAAAGCCTAACGGCTATAAATTATTCAGACTCACCTGTGGATTTTTGAAAAGTGCGTATTTTTCTATACGCTCCATAAATATAAGCTTGTTTTGGCTATCCCTTGTCCAATTAAGAAGATTTTCAACCAAGTTTTCATGGTCTTCAAAGATTCTCTCTGTCTCAGAATGAAATAGCAATTATTTCATTAGTATTCATCAGCAGTGCATTAAAGACATGAAAACATGCTAATTCACATCAGGATCACAGAACCTTAAACAATACTACAGTCTTTGGCACTTAGAAGTTATCTTGTCTTCCCTCATTTTTCAAATAAGGAAACAGTCTATTAGTATTAAAAGGGATCTCAGCAAGGGCAATATATGGAAGAAATAGGACATAAATTAGGTCTTCTGACTTGAAACACTGGTTTATAGCCTTCAACCTTTTTCCCACTCTGCCTTAGAAAAAAATCTGCATTTCATAAATTCTGGTATTAAGTACTTCTAAGAGTACTCATTTCTTGTTACTTTAAATTTTTCTAAGATGATTTCATACTTTATCCATGGATTTTGTTTATTTTTTTTTTTTTTTTTTTAAATAACTTTTTTTTTTTTTTTTTTTTTTTTTTTTATAGAGGCATGTTTATTTATTTATTTGTTTGTTTGTTTGTTTTGTTCATACATGCACTGGGTATAGTCAGAAGCGCGGGAGGGTGAGAGAATTCACCAGAGCCAGAGCAGGGAGCAGAGCAGGCAGAAGGACCGAAGTACACCGCTGAGGGGAGCAGCGGGCGGCAGGAGAGGTCTGCGCGCCATGTGGGACCCTCCTCTGGTGGCCGGGGAGCAGCCGGGGATCGAACCGGCGTCGCAGAGGCGGCGGGCAGCTTCGCAACCCAGCGCTCAACCGCTGCGCCACCGGGGAGGCCCCGGATTTTGTTTATTTTTTAAATTACTGAGTATCTGATGGCTAAGAACCCTTTTTTTTTTTAAGATTTATTTATTTATACAAGCACTGGGTACAGTCAGAAGCGCAGGAGGGTGAGAGAATTCACCAGAGCCAGAGTGGGAACAGAACAGGCAGACTGACAAAATACACTGCTGAGGGGAACAGCGGGAGCGGCAGGAGAGGTCTGTCACGCCATGTGGGACCCTCGCCGGGGATTGAACCGGCGCTACAGAGGTTGCGGGCAGCTTCGCACGCAGCCCAGTGTTCAACTGCTGTGCCACCAGGGGAGGCCCAATTTTGTTTATTTTTAAACATAAATGTATTTTCTGATTTCCAAGTTAGGAATCGAGAACATCTCCAGTATACTGAATATATAGTTCAAAGGACATACTTTATACGCTGGTGCTTATGGCTTATTATGTCAATCAATGTTTGGAAGTATTCCATTTCTGCATGAAAAGAACAATTATTTCCCCATTATTAGATAGTGTTCAAAACAGTTATCTATTACATTAAACCCTTTCTCGTCTGCTTGAGTATACTGATAACTGTAAAAGTTCTTAGGTTGGAAGTTCCATGAAGACCAACTTGTGAATTTTTTTTGGTAGTCCTATTAATTTCTGATTTATAGATTTCAATGCTATTAAAATTTAGAAGGATTGTATCTTCCTGGTGAAGGTGTGTGGTTCTCTTTATACCTAGTGATGCATTTGGCCTAAAGTCTATTTTGCCTGTCATTCACATATATTACTCTCTTTTGGTGTCTTTCCACATTCCTTTTGCTTTCAAACTTTCTGTGTCTTTTGTAAACAGCAAACAGTTGCATTTTCTTTATTCATCCTTCCTAACAATCCTTGCCTAAATGAATAATGTACCTTTATCACCCTATTTTGGAGTCTTAGTGTAGTGCCCTGTGTGTCTTTTGTTCATTCAACAAATACTGAATGACGACATATTTGGAGCACTGTGCTATAAATTATTATTAAAGACACAATAGTCAATATATAAAAGATAACAGAAATATATATGGATCTTTAAGCTACAATCATGGAAATATTCCAGAAACTAGCACCCAAACATTTTCTGTGTATCATGATGTTGAACTCAAATCTTTCCAGTTCTCTAAGAACAATTAGAGATGAGTATTACTAAATACATTTTATACGTACTAAAGTTCCAATGACTTATGGTTTATTTTTGTGGGTTACATACGTGCATTCTGAGAGAAAAAGGTTAATGAATTTTTATTTCTATGGAAACTGCTGTTAGATATTTATAAATACAACAGGTAGTAAGAACAATGCAAATACATTTAAAAAAAGTTGAAATTGCTTACTGATTCAATGAAAGTCTAACTAAATGATTGTTGCAAAGGTTCTGTAACCATATAACCAATATTACAAAAAGTAACTTTTAAAAGAGTCACTGAAGGATTTTTAAAATTAGAAAAAGCCAAATAAAAATATAAATCATAGGAAACTAAGACTTAGTTTTAGCACAGCTAGTTAAAAATAAGAAAGATGTGTTTTGTTTCCCCTGAAAGTCAAATGCTGGTATAGACTTAATTACAAATGTGAATAAATAAAATGTTCTTTAAGACACAATATTGATTACTGTGTCTTAAATAATACTTACTAATATATAGCAAAGTGCTTCAAATATGTAGTTATTCAGTACTTGCTGAATGAACAAAAGAAACACAAGGGACTACACTAAGACTCCAAAATAGGGTGCTAAAGGTAAATAAAATGGTTCATTTATGCAGTTCTTAGTTGAAAGGAAAAGAGCACTGTTACTTTAAAATTTTTGTTCTAGCCGTAAGAAAATCTGAAGTGGATTGGAGATGATTATGTATTCAAAGATAATATTTATTAGCCAAGTAACATTACAGAAAAAAATACATGAAGACGTCTCGCTGGGTTTTATCAATATGGAAACTTGTATATACACAAAAACTGAAGCATAAATAAAACAACGTTACTAACCCATTTGTAACTCAGAGATGGTTTCCACCAAGGACCAATCTAAACTGTAACCGCAGTGGGATTTGTCCATCAGGTTATCCAGCACTTGTCTCACTGTCTGCCTCTCATCCACCATCATAGTTTTAGAACTATCGTCAGACATATGGATTCTAATCACCAGCTGTAACAGGTAAAAAGGAAATGAGATACAAACCAAGGAACAGGCACTCTAGAAATTTCTTCCAATATTGAGTAGTTTTCAGATTAATATTCTTAAATATAAGTTAAAATACAAATAATGATTTTATATTCAAGAAAGATACTCTAAATAAATATCAAATAACCTACCTAAACAAATTTACATAATTAAAAAAAATATGACAAGAGGTAAGACTATGTAATAAGATTACTTTGTTTTACTCTCTTAGGAGAATTTAAAGCCAGAAAGTTATTCTTTTATAATGAATTTATTCATGAAAAATAAATTAGAAGTACCCCTCTATCTACCTCTTTGTATCTTAGTGGTATATTAAGCAAGACAATTCTTAATAAATCTGTAAAGCTGACAAAAATCCCAAACCAGGGAAAAAATCCCAAATATCACCTTTTTTACTTGTGCCTCTTTAATTTTCTCTAGAGCAACTCTGATCTTCTCAGCTTTCAGTTTTGCTGCCTGTTCTTCCTGTGGACACAAAGCACTTTAGATAAACTAATGCTAAAATAATGAGAACTTTTGAGTTTTTTTTTTAATTCTTAACAATGTTCTTAGCATTGAATTTTATTAAGACTGAAACTGACACATTATATAAAACACATTTGAAAAAATAACAGCAGAGAGAGAGTATATGTATTAAAAACGAACATTTTTGAAAATGCAGACTGAAGATCTCTTATAATAAGACTAGATTTCATATTCCAGAGAAAAAGCAATCTGCAGTAATTTGATTCTGTCAATCTGAAGCACATGAATTTTGGGTTCTGAGGACAGGGAAACTTAAGTATATAACGGCTGCTGACCTGCCAGTTTGTTATACCTGCATAAGCCTTTTGCTCTTAAATTGTATGACCTCCAAAGTATGGGCAATCTTTTGCATAATTATATTTTGTTCTGTTATGCTGAAAGGGTATCATCATTAAAATAGCAAAAACACCACCAATCCATTTCTTCACAAACACATAAAAATCCTTAAAAGAAAAAAAGGTGGATATGTTCTTATTAATATAACACTATATAAAGGCTACATTTATATCTTAAGCTTTACTCTGCTTTGGAAAACCCCACAAGTCAATGTCTCAGATCAGTAAACTGAAATTTAGTTCACCTAATTCATTCATGATTTTTTAAGCACTAAATTTTCCAAATATTTAATTTACTTTCTAATTTAACTAAAATAAAATGATTAAAAACTTAGAAAATTTAGATTACAACTAGTAATAAAATTATCAAGAACTAAAACTATACTTTAAACCATTTGTCTATTTTTTCCTACAATAAAATATACAACTGTAATACTGGTACTTACTTGTACTTTCCAGCAATAAGCCATAATGCACTGTTGCATTACTCTCCAGTTGAAAATAATTCAAGTAAGTAATAAACCTTTGCTTATAAAGAATTACTTTCTAATTTTATGCTTTTGATTACCCTGGAAAACATCTAAGTAAAAGAAACTGCCATCTTAATATTTCTTCAATGTGCCATTAAAAAAAAAAAAAAAGAAAAAAGTCTATTACATCAAACTTTATCTGCTCTGGATTGTGACTAAAAATCACAATCCATGTGTTATTCCTCATTAAAAAGCTAAAGAGACTGGGACAAAAAACAAAATCAAAACCTCAAATCATTTAACAGATTTGTTTCCCTTTCTCCTAAATTGAACTGGCTTTCGATTGTTTACGAACTGTTAACATATTCCATTTTATACTCTAGCTGTTTTCTCTCATTCCAAGCTTTATATTTACTACTCTGTGGAATAGAGAAGAAAACAGTGGTTAGGAAAGACTGAGGGCTTGTTTGCTAGAAATCTGATCCTTTTCAATGAAAGGAGTCAGTAAATTAACATAATAACCACGGCCTGGAAATACTATCTGTAAACCCAATTAGAGAACAAAGAACTTTATGTTAACAATGGAGAAGGCTAAAATAAAACTTGATTCTTAGATTATTTTATATTCTTTTGATGAAAAGATTAAATTATCCTACCCCCTATATGCAAATAACAATTATAAAATATACTATGTATTATAAATACAAAAAATTTCTTTTTAAATGAAGTTATGAAGGAGAAAAACTCATTAAAGTCTCAGTTTCTGGTATTCTGGGTCTTAGAGAAAATAAGCAAACACCAAATGTATTTCTGATGAGTGGTGCACTGCTCTATAAGAGAATCTTAAACACTAGACTTTTTGGTGTTTATGAAGTCAGTTATTTAATAGTTTTTTGGGGAAAGAAAAAGGGAGTAGAAGTTTTATGAGTCTTTTCTCAAAGGGATAATGATCTTAGGTTCAGCATGGCTCACTTGCCACAGCTTTACATTGCTAATGAATGGCTGTATACAGTAGTAAACTTAACCAAGGCATATTTTCAAGTCTCTGAAAAGCAAATTTAAATAAAATATGATGAGGAAAAACTGATACACAAAATCAATTCTTGGTATATTAGGATTATAAACTTCAACTTCTAAAAGGCCAGATTCTTCCTTTACATTATAATTAACCTGCAGAACTGGGGTGGGGGTGGGGGGGAGTCTAGTTATCCTCAAAGCCAAAAATCAATTAAAAAATAAAAAAGAATATTCTAGAGGATGAGAAGACAAGCCACAGACTTGGAGAAAATATTTGCAAAATAGCTATCAGACATATCTGATAAAGGTCCGTTACCCCAAATATACAAAGAATGCTTAAAATTCAACAAGAAATGAGCCCTATTAAAAAGTGGGCAAAAAATCTGAACAGATACCTCTCTAAAGAAGATACACAGATGGCAAATAAGTTATGAAAAGATGCCCAACACCATATGTCATTAGGGAATTGCAAATTAAAATAATGGAGATACCACTACATACTATCAAAATGGCCCAAATCCAAAACACTAAAAACACCATATGCTGGCAAGGATGGCAACAGAACACTTAATCATTCATAGTGGGAATGTAAAATGGTACAGCCACTTTGTAAGACAGTTTGGTGGCTTCTTATAAAACTGAATATACTCTTACTAGACAACACAGCACTCATACCAAAATGAGTTGAAAACTAACCTTCACCCCAAAACCTGCACAAAGATGTTTTATAGCAATTTTATTTATAATTGCTAAAACTTGGAAGCAGTCACGATATCTACAGGTGAGTGAATAAACTGTACTATATGAAGACAATGCAATATTATTCAGTGCTAAAAAGAAATCATAAATGCAGATTACTAAGTGAAAGCCAATCTGAAAAGGCTGCATACTATGTAATTCCAACTATATGACATTCTGGAAAAGTCATGAGAAAGGAAACAGTAAAAAGATGACTAGTTGGGAGAGGTTGGTAGGGAGTAAATAGGCAGAGGATTTGGGAAGCAGCTAAAATAATCTATATATTATCAATATAATGATGAATACATGTCATATATTTGTCCTAACCCATAGGATCAAGAGTGAAGCTTAATGTAAACTGCGGGATATATTACAAAAACTAGGTGATGGTGATAAGTTAATGTAGGCTCAGTGGTAACAAATGTTACCACTCTTATGAGGGATGTTAGTGATGGGGAAAGCTATTACATGTAGGGGGAGGGAGGAGGTTTATAGGAAATCTCTGTACCTTCCTCTCAATTTTGCTATGAATCTATAAATCTAAGCAAATCTTATATTTCCTTAAATCTAAGAATTTAAATATTACACTCTGATACTGGTTATAAATACAAAAACAGTACTTTCATATTCAATTTGTTTCAGTAAATACTTACTGCCAAATACAACAAAATACAGCCAGTGCTATCTTTTGAAGAAGTGACCTAAAAAGTCTTAAATAACCTATAGGATTTGCTTAAACTTCCAGATCAGTCTGTGCTTCGCAGGGTAAAAGGAAAAATGTTGACATATACGAAGAAAGAATTAAAGAAACACCTGAATGTATCAAATCAATTAACATACATTAATTTCCTAGCCATCAATAAGAAACCATTTTTTATGCAAAGTAAAGCTAAGTGGGGGTTAATTTCTAAATTCAGCGTTTCTACTATTTGCCCAAAGTATTACTCTTGACCAAACGGTCTATGTTAAAACTGTCTCAAATTCAGGGCCTCCCTGGTGGCACGGGGATTAAACACAGTGCTGTCAAGCTATTGCCAGCCACTACAGCTGGCCAGGGAGCTAACCCACAGGGCACAGCAGACCTCTCTTGTCTCGCCTGTTGCTCCCCTCAGCCGTGTATTTCAGTACATCTGCCTGTTCTGCTCCCCACTCTCTTTGGTGAATCCTCTCACCCCCTGCACCTCTGGCTTACACTCCAGTTCTTGTATGCAAAAATAAATAATCTTTAAAAGAAAAAAACTGTCTCAAATTCAAATATGAGAGCTAAGCAAAATTTAGTTTATTCTTCTCCAGAGGTTATTAACAAGGATATTCCAAGCAAGAAGAGTCTCAAGAGAAAATTGAAACAGAAAAGACACCTCTAGCTTTTAACAGTTTCACTAGCAGCATCACTAGAGAAAAACTGGAAAATGAGAATATATCAAATTGGAAGGTTCATAGTATTTTATGCTTCCTCAGAAAGTTGTTTTTATTTATAATGTTTAAGCCATTACCTTATCTCTTAACCGTGACAACCTGAGAAAGGGAGACACTGTCTTAAGCTCGACGTGTGTTGTACATTACAGGAAACACCAATATATCTGTGCTGATGTGTTTAGATTATTTACTTAGAAGATCTCTTAATAGCTTATTTATAAATAAAGGCAAAGCAAATCTTTGTTCAACAGATACGCAGTTCATTGAATACATGTTCAAAACTGCACTCCAACTTTAATACAAAGAACTTTATTTTTTTTTTTACTACAAAGAGCTTTCCTCACTGAATGTCCCCTTTTTGTGAATGCTGACAAACTTAGGTCTTCTACCCCTTATCTTCTGACTATCCCTTTCACGTTGCTTGCTCCACAGCCATTCCAAATGTAAGTAAAAGATACTTCACACACATAACAACTTAATTCTCCTACTCTTCTTAAAAGAGCAAGAAACAACCCATTTTCTACCTGAAAAACTCCAATGTGGCTATCAATAACCATCAAATGTCAAGCCTCCTCAAATTTACACAATGAACAAAAACTGGGTGAAGATCTTATGATTAAATGAAAGCCAATGCTGTGGTTACAAAGTGTTAGGACATTCTCTTTGGTGTAAAAATGAGAATACTTACAGAAAAAGCTCCAGTTGCTCAGAGATGGCTAGAGAATTCCTTCCACTAAGAAGTTATGAAGGTTTTGGGTGTTTCAAAACAAATCTGATAGAAATTTAAGGTCTAAATAGTAGTTTCTATGGAATTTCACTTACCTCACAGCTTATAAGTTATATAAATTAAAATGATTCAAAGAAGGGCCTCCCTGGTGGCGCAGCGGTTGAGCGCTGGGTTGCGAAGCTGCCCGCAGCCTCTGCAGCGCCGGTTCGATTCCCAGCTGCTCCCCGGCCACCAGAG